CGGGTGCCAATTACTACGATCCCCGCGCAGACTTCTCCGGCTCCCAGCCATACCAGGGCAGCTCCGGCGGATACGACTACGACCCGTCATTCGGCCAGGCCGTCAAACAGGCCAAATACCACAACACGGGCCGCGAAGACGACGACGATGACGACGACGAAGAGTCGGGATTCTTCAGAAAAGCAGTGAGCTTTATCAGTGAGAACAAAGACCGATTTGGGCAGGAGGACGTCGACGAGCAGAAGATGGTGGGTGCCCATCAGGCGCTGTACGGGGGCCAGCACGAGGGCGGCGACAGGGGCAAGGTCGATGCGGATTTCCTGGGGAGCGGTGCGGCGCTGCAGGCGCTGAAGATGTTTTCGAGCGGCGAGGGGAGGCAGTCGCAGAGCGGGGGCCATGATCAGAATAAGCTGATCGGGCTGGCGATGGCGCAGGCGGGCAAGTTGTGGGATCAGCAGAATCAGCAGGGCCAGGTGGTATGTGCATGGCTTGTTTGGCGCTTTTCCTGGGCTCTTTTTTTTTTTGGTCACCGTTGACTGACACCGTGGGGTTCCTAGGCTACTGACAAGCAATCGGCTATCAATTCTGCGGCGAAGATGGCGCTGAAGATGTATCTGAAGAACCAGAGCGGTGGTAAACTCGGCGGCGTGGGCGGCTTGGGAGGGTTGGCAGGGAGTCTTGGAGGGCAGTCGGGCGGATCGGGCCTGTTTGATCTGGCAAAGAAGTTTTTCTGAGATAAACCAGGGGAGCATGTGGATCTGCAGATATTGCGAGTTGATCTGATGTCTATTATCGGTGAGTTTGCATGACATATAATAAGGAACGTTTACGAGGCCTGAATCCAACGCTTTCGAGACGTGATTGGGATGAGACAACCCCCCAAGATTCAACTGTCCTTTTGTCTCGTTTTCTGTAGATAGAGCCCCTATGTTCCAAGAGCTGCAGCAGAAATCAAAATGCCTTGAGCCAGACAACTCTTGCCTCTTATACCCAAACGACCCCTGGAAGAACTTGCCGCAATGTGAGAGCAAGCCACGGAAAAGCTGCAGTTGCGAAGGGCGCGTTTGGCAGCTCGCCAGCTTTCAAGGGCGCTCTATGATCTTTCCTTCTGACGAGCAGTCGTGCAATGGATTCATTGACTGGGAAAGTTCCTCATTTGAACCCATATACCGTGATACCCAGCATTGTCTATGCCTTTGCCCGATCACCTGGCCCCAAATGGCGTTTATCATGAACGTCGACCGCTCCCTCGAAAACCACATAAACACCCTCGTCTGCGAATGGAAAATCAAATTCCACACCTCCAGCAGCCAGATTTGCCAGTTCGCCTCCCGATACCGCGGCCGACCGGGCTGCCGCGTCGTCGACACACACTGGGGCACCTCCAACGCCGGCTACCGTCTGCACTGGGACGACGGCGGCGTGGCTGGTTCCTCCGCTTCCCGATCCCCCAACGGGCGCACCTGGTAGAGATGAAGATGATGTATGAAGCCGAGGCGATGGTTTGTATTCGATCGCGCACGGCGGTTCCGGTGCCGGAGGTGATTGCGTACGGGAAGTCGGGGGAGAATCCGACGGGGCTGGGGCCGTTTATTCTGATGACGTGGGTGGAGGGCGTGAATATGCAGACACTGATGGAGACGACAGAGAGGGTGCCGGGAGCGGGTGTGGACGATGCCATTCTGGATCTGGGCGTGGATGAGGAAGTGTTGAAGAAGCTGTACTACGGCATTGCGGGAGTGTTGCTGGAGCTGTGGAAGCTGGATTTTGTAGAAATCGGCTCTGTGGGATATCTGGATACGCTGTGCGAGTTTCAGTCCGTTGGCACACCGTTATCGCTTGGGTTCAACGACATGATGACCCTGGGGATGATTGCATCGGAGCCTTTTCCCGCCCAAACATTTCCGTCCACGCCGGAGTATTTTGAATGTCTTGCGGAGCTGCACATCGTGCATCTGACCAGCCAGCGCAACAGTATCTTTGACTCGAGAGATTGTCGCGAGAAATTCGCCGCCCGGGGCCTCTTGAAGAACATCATCTCCGTCTTCATCGAAGAGAAAGAGGCAAACGGGCCGTTCAAAATATTCTGCGACGGTTTTGGCCCCGGAAACTTCCTTATCAACCCAGAGACGCTGGAGATCACGGGCGTTATCGATTGGGAGTTCACATATGCGGCGCCTCCCCAGTTCCTGGCGTCTGCGCCGGAGTGGCTACTTCTTCAAAGACCTGCTGAATGGATTCGGGATAGAGGATTTGACTCGTTCATGGAGGCCTATCTCCCGAAGCTGGAATTGTTCCTCGGTTGTCTGGAGCGCCAGGAGGCAGAACGCGGTATATCTGGCACAGGCGAGGCTTTGTCCGCCCGTATGCGCCAGTCCATGGACGACAGGACATTCTGGTTCAACATCGCCATCCGTGACGGGTGGAGTCTGGACTGGATATACTGGAACATGATCGACAACTATGTCTTCGGTCCCTCCGGGATGACGGAACGAGTGGCGCGTGTCTCTGCGCGTGGCGTCGACGGGGATCTGGAGGAGTATGTGCGGGCGAAGATTGAACGGCTGGAGGACTACAACGTTGAATTTCGCCTTCCGTCGATTCGATATGAAGAGCCGGAGGATGATGAGACGCTCGAGTATTGGATTAAGCCTGATTTGAGGCTGCCGCCCATTCGGCTTCAGCGCGGTTACGGGTCGGGTCGCGTGGCTGGTAGCTGCATGCTGGCGCTGGCTGCTGCGGCGACAGGGTTTATATTGTATAGGCGGTATATTTCATTGACATAAATGAAGCAGCTGTCTGTCGGAATAACCAGGTGTACAGGTCTACAAGCTATGCACGATAAGGGATCCGTAAGCTGGAAGTATGTTATTAAAACCGAACCACTAGAAGGAGATAAGAGAGGTGACAACAAGGGGTCCGTACAGAGTCCACGTCGAGGGAGAAAAGCGGCTTTGAAATATTCTATGGTCATGTCCTCAAATGGTTGGGAGCGGGTTCTTATTTACTTTGGTTCATAAGTATGCCAACATGTACACTCTCACACACACGTTGATGGTGAAGAAAAAGGAGACGGGGGAAAAGGCAAAGTTTTAGGACATGTTTGGTATATTCACTCCCTTCTCCTCTTTACTTCCCAACCACAGGGAAATAAAAGAAAGCTTGAAAAAGAACATTTACAACTCCACTCATTTCAACAGAAATTTGTTAAACCCCATGCTGAAAAACAAAGACGGACAGGGAATCAAAACAAAAATGGGGGAAAAAAAAATACATCAATGACTCAGATCAGATCAAGTTGTGTTTATTTGAAAACGTTAATGCAACCCCAGTTTTGCTCAACGCCAAGTGGGCCAGGTTCCTTCCAGAGGTCATTGGTGAAGGAGAAGAAGACAGAGTTACTGCCAATCTCCTTGACAATTGATTTGATGGCAGTGACCTGTTCCGAGGCACCGGAGACAGCCTTTCCGTTGTTACCTCCGCCATTGGGCCAGCCAGTTTCCAGGTTGACGACCTTCTTGTTGCAGAGTTTCTCGAGGATATCCATCTGGCCCTTGGCGAATTTGCCAGCTTCAGAGGGAGCAACGCCAGCATTGAAGAATGGATGGATGTTAGCGCCAAGGACATCGATGACACCGCAGAGCTGGCCAGCGTTGGCTTGCCAGATGTTAAGTGGTTCAGTCGTGGTGACGGGACCGTTGTATCCAGCCTTCTTGAAGGTGGCCTTGCAGGAGGCAATGAAGCTTGCAAGAGAACCGGCATCGGCGTGACCCTGGAAGATGGCCTCGTTACCAACGACAACGAGGTCAACCATGCCCCATTGACCCCATTGGACGATATCAGTGACTTGCTTCTGAGCACCCTGGATACCAGTGTTGGAGATGAAGATGCCAATGATCATTCTCAATCCGAATTCCTTGCAGGCATTACCAACGTTCTGGAGACCATCGCAGTCAGAAGAGTACACGCGAACGGTCTTGAAACCCTTCTCCTTGATGGTTTGGATATCCTTCTTGACATCACTAGCACCCTTGCATTGGCCGTCATTGTTGTATGGAGAGTAAGTCATACCCCATTTCTCACCTCCGCCGAGTGGTGGCTCAGGGCCTTTGCTGGGGGCTGGAGCAGGAGCGGGGTCTGGCTTCTTGGTGGGTTTTGGTTCATCATTTGATGGTGGTGGGGGAGGCTTGTTGGCAGGCGGGTTGGCCGGTGGATTTGCAGGTGTGGTTGGCTTGTCAGTCTTGGGTGGCTCGATACCAGTTGGCTTGGGGCAGACGTAGACATAATCGGTCTCAGTGACGGTGACAGTAGCTCCAGGCTGAGTGTAAGTTCCAGGAGTGATAGTTTCCGGGGTTGGGTAAACAATGACAGTGCTCTTGGAGACGCTGGTAGTGCTGGGGCCAACGGTGTAAGTTCCAGGAGTTGGGCAGACGAAGGTAGTCTTTTCGATGACACTGGTGAAGGTGCTTCCAACAGGCTTCACAGTCGCGATGGGGCAGGTGATGGTGGTTGCTGTCTCAACAACGGTGGTGACACCTCCGTAGGTGTGCTCGCCTGGTGAGACGGCTGTGGTCGTGGCACCGCAGACGGTCGTCGTCTTGTCTACGATAATCGTGGTTGGCTCGATGGTATAGGTACCGGGGGTCGGGTACACAGTGACAACGGCAGTTGGGAGGACTTCAGATGGAGTGACAGAGACAGTCACAGTGGTGTAGCTGGTGGAGCGGACTGTGGTTGTCTTTTCCGTGACAGGTTCCGGAACCACTGATGTCTCACGTTAGCAAGCGAGAAAGCATTGTTTTGCATTGTTCCAAACATGGCCAGAAACATGTTTTGAAGCATATCTAGGTACTTACAAGTAGGCTCTCCGGTCATAGTGATCGTCTTCACTGTGCAACCACAGGTCTGAGCACCACGGCGGTGGAGATTGGCATGGCCATGGCGATGGTGAACACCGCCAGCCAGGGCAGAGCCAACCAGGCCTGCCGCGGCAGTCAACAAAGCAGCGCCCTTCATGTCTCTCAGTCGTCAAGAGCTATCCAATACTGTGCGTAGACCCGGCGAATCGATCGCGGGAACGGTATAGAGATGGGAAAGCAAGGGCTTTATACTGGACGGCGTAGTGAATCTGGTTCAGGCCAATTTCCGCTAATATAAATGGTAGGGGGGTTCCAGTCGTGCGATCGTCAACAGAGTAGAAAGAATGCCCGCTGAAAGAGTGAAGCGGTGGTCAGTGGTCTGGAGGGAAGAAAGATGGAGATGGACGGAAACCCTTGGGCGGGAGGAGGATGAAGAGAAGAGAAGAAGCTGGCGAGCGAGAGAAGAAGAAGAAGAAGAAGAAGAAGTCAAGCCAACAGGGGCAAAGGGGGCGCTGGGCTGGTTCCTTTGGGTTAGTCCGGGCTGCGGGGTTGTGACAGTACGGTACCAGGAACACCCGGCCAACTCCTCGCTCTGATTGGCTGCATGGCGTCACCGCCTTGCCGCTCCGGGACTAGCGGTCAGTGAGCTGGTCCTTGGTACGGGCTGGTACGGGGCGCACCGCGCCAAGTCGTTGGTTTTTGTTGTTGTTTTGTTGTTTTGCTGTTTTTGCCAAAACACGGCCCAACGCCAGCATCCAGGATCCTTCTTGGAGTATTGACAGCAGCAGCAGCAGCATCAACAGTCATCGCCAGTGTGAGGCTCCCCGTATTCCAGCCCAAAACCAGATGTCAGCACTGCAGACGTCGAGCTTGGTGTGGTCTTGGTCTCGCGATCCATCCAGGAACACGCCCTGCCCCTAGTCCAATCAGCAGCCGGCTGCCCCTGCACCTCATCTTACGGCCGATCCACATTCTCACCCAAGCCTCAGGGATCATTGCTCAAGAAAACCCAGAAAAGGAGGCGAAAGGGATTCGAAAAAAAAAAGCGAGGTGAGCTAGACCCTCCAAGCTGGTTTCATAGAGAGTAACCTTGGACCAGGGCCTTGAAACAGATATAAACTCGCAGAGCCATCACGACACTTTTTTTCTATGAAAGCCATTGTTGACTGTTTGGTTCACCCTGCGGTTGGTGCAGCATGGACGGAGGAACTGAAACGAGGTTGCTGTTTGTTTGCTGGATTGCGCCATTTCCCGCTCCCAAATACCGCCCAAATCCGCCTCGCCACGCGGGTTGCCAACCAAGCATGCTTGGAAGAGAATTATTATTAATAGACCCTCTGTCCGCACAAATCAACAAGCCGCCAATGCAATATGCCCAATCCACCAAGAACCTGATTCAGGAAGAAATAATTTGCTTGCCGGAAATGAGCCAGGGTGTCTGCGTCATTTCACGAGTTACCAATCACACTTGCTTTCACAGGCAGAGGTTTTCTATATATGACAGCACTGCACTTGTCCAGTGATATCCCGCCAGGTATTACACGAGAAATATCCTGTGCTGTCGTCTCAAATATCTTGTCATTGCGCCTGAATTTCGCGCTTTGTGCCTGGAGACGCTTTTGCGGAGGCACGTCCTAGGCAATATCTGCCTTTTAGACGAATTCCGCACTTGACTTTTTGGCATCTAACGCCTGAGCGGAATGCAACGAACAAGGCGTTCATTCGACTTCTGACCACCCACTCGTACTCATCCCGACCCGCAGCAACTCTTCCATCGCCATCTCCTCCTCAGAAAGCCCAGTATATTGAACACGATCTCTCCCCAGCCCTCATCATTCGCTCAAAACCCCATCTCTCGTTGGCCAGAGCGGTAAAATAGTAGAAAGCCTAGTCGCAAAGTCATAAAGTCCAGCTTGCAGATCGTTGCTTCATAGAAAAAAAAAAAAGTCTACTCCGTACCAGCCCAGAAACGGGACGATCCCTCAAGGAGAATCGCCCCAGGGCCGACCGGTCTGTCGTACGGACACTACGGAGTAGTAATTACTCCGAGGAGATCGATTGCCCGTTCTCGAGCTGATCGGCGGTGGTTCAAGAGCTTTTCTCTTCCATGGCTGAGAGCACTATTGGGTTGGTCCCTCCACTTGTGTGGAAAGCGATATAAGCTCCAAGAATTCGGACGGTGGAAACTTGAAAGAAAGGGGGGCTCTTTTTATTTTCCTTTTCCTGGCCGCCATGTGCCCCCTTTCTTTTATGCAAAGAATGAGATGTTTTCAGGGGATTGTACGGAGTAATTTGTCTGGAGATGGATCGATCTTCATCCCACTTGTATGTAAACCGAGTGAGCTTAATTTCGAAGGCACATAACAGCATTGCTCCGTATTGCGTCGTTCTATCAACAGGACACGCTTGTAGAGCTTTTCTAAGCCTAATTCTTGCTGATCTTGCCGGTCTAGTTCTTCCGCTGGTGATTTCATTCCGTCGTCAATTGGACTTAAATGATCAAATTGATCAGAAGACAAGAACCTTCATCGCGAATCGCGAAGGGGTGGTTGATGCATCTAGGCGCGTTCAACCTTGGAGGTTGTCTTCCCACCAAAATGCGGAGGGATCCCGTGAAGAACAGCAGTGCAATGCAGCGTTAACTGATAAAGCGATACTTACACATCAATTGCAGCCATTAGAATCTGCTGTATTACCACTTCCCTGTTGGCTTAGTTAGTACTGGGGCACTCGTCGTGATTGAAGAGACTCCGACCCGTCCGAGTTCATTCCTGCTGAGGTCGCTTGGGCAGATCAAATATGGCTGAACGAGCATGGCGGGTATGCGGGCCAAAGAAAGAAAGGAATAAAGAGGTTAGGGTGTTTCTAGTGGGCGCTGCCATTGAACAATGTTGCCCACCCTCGTCCAGTGCTTGAGGGGAACTGGAATTGATAACCAGTTAGTGGTTACGGATGATAGATGACTTCCTCGATGCTTCCGGCTAACACTCACGTAAGTGTCCGCTATGCGACCCAGGATCAAAGCCTAATGAATACAAAGTACGTTATAAAATCCGGAGTCTGCCTTTTTTTTTCTCTTTCCATCAAAGTATCAAGTTCATTGTGCATATGCAAGCATGTCATCCCTCCTATTGACTCGAAAAGCTTTATATTCAGCTCATTTCCTGCCAGCAATCTTTTGCAGTTTGTGCTGTTCTGGTGTGCGAAGATATTCCCTCTTGTCACTCACTCCTTGGTGGTGCACAAGTAGCAGATCTTCTGGTGTCAACATCCTCGCACAGCTGCATACAACACCTTCCCTCCACCACATCCCAATCATGGCAGGGAATACTCCCGCATGGCAAACTCTAGAGCCTCGCAACCTGCGAAGCAGTCCAGTCACAGAAACCCAGGCTTTGTCTGCCAATGGGCTATCCGCGAGGCCATCATCCAATGTGAAGAAAGCAAGGACCTGTTCTTCAACAATATACCTCCAGGGAAAGGGTCTCAAGTCGCATCATCCCTCTCCAGCGATCCTGAGGTTGAAAGAAGGCGCCCTCGGCAAGTTTTTAGACGTTCCTTCTTGAGAGATCAATTGTTGCTAACATCCGCGCAGTATTCACTTCAATGCAGAGGCTCATATGCTGTGGATCGAATCATGCCAACACTTCTACACGACTGCCATCAGGAGTGGATCAAGGATGAGATGTATGACATGACAAGGGCAGGCTTCTTAAGCGACGCAGAGCTCAAGTTTCTGCGTACGAGAGTTGGCACAAGTAGGTAGTCTCCTGTGGTTAGCTGTAACAACTTAACTTACCTCACTGTAATCTGTTTATCACCAGCTTTCAAAACATTTGGAGGCATTTGGGAAAATTCCCGCAAGGATCCGGATCTGTGCCTGCTAGGATACGGTCAATTTCTACCAACTGTCGTGATGGAGTCTGGATACAGTGAATCACGGCCGCAACTTCAAGCTGATATGCGCCTTTGGTTGAAGGGCGGGGCCCCGGCTGTACAGCTTGTCCTAATCATCAATTGGTCAGAGCTGGTAGGGAAGAAAATTAAAGGGAGTATCGAAGCTTGGGAATTGAATGGGGACACCCCGACTTTGATACAAGAAGAGGTATCATACCATTTGGCTTGCACCCGCTCCGTTGCCACTATTGTTCGAGCTGACAACGATTGCACGCTGATAGGTGATCTTCCCTCAGCCCCCAGGAAACCCTGCACAGGCCATCGGGGTTACCCGTGGCCAACTGTTTGGCAATGCGACATTCCCAAATAGAAACCGCAACGACACATACAACCTGTCGATTGAGAATTTGCGAAATGTTGCCAGCTGGAGCATCAGAGATATGGGATTTATCCCGGTCTAGTTTTAGCAAAGCGAAAACGAGAGCGGTCGATTTGTTGACAACTTTATATGTGCCTTTGCTGGTCACCGTGTTCCATTCAAGCCTTGCAGCCTCCACGAATTCCTTTCTATATTTGTGGTTTTTCAGCTCTCTCCAGGATTGAGGCTCTAGAGGCAGCTCGCTGCGGTGTGGTTTATAGTCTGGAGACTTAGAGCTCAGAGTCCGCTTCCGGCTTTCATTCCCCTGAGCTCGGAGGTTCTAGTCGAGTTGCAGAGGCAAAGAAGGCGTGATAAACCTCGTCTAGTGCCTCAAGTCTCTCAGGTATGAGGGCAGTAATATGGCCTTGAGCTCGCCGTGAAACGCGCGGATTGGTGTCCATTTCAGGCGTAGGCTCTGCTGAGGCGTTTCGATCCTCCATATCAATGAATCTAACCCTTCGTTGAGTAGCTGGCGTATCCGGAATAGGAGGGTCGACATCTGAAGTTCTTGCTGGAGTGGGTGGCTCCGGAAACGCTCCTGCGGGCGGAGAATCACGATATTCGGTGAATTGGGACCATACTTAGCTGCCCTTCTCATCCCAATATTTAATTCGCTTAACATTAAAGCAGAAAATATATAGTACCAGGTAAAGTTAAGAGCGTTTTTGGCGCCGGACATTGCTTTTCGTGGCGACCTCCAAGCAAACCCCAAAACGATCCACAGCAAGAATCAACCAACCTGTCTCCGGTGGGCCTTACATGTTTCAAACATTCAGATTCCAAAGAGACAAGTAATTAGTATTGCTACAAGAGCAGCGAACTATGAAAGAGAACCGATCACGCATGAGATAGATAAACCTCCCCCGAGACGTGGGCAGAAATGAGAGGGCCAACAGCCTGTCGTCGAGAATATGCCAGCCAAACACTTGCTAGGAACTAAGGCAATGGCATGCAACCATAAACCTGTCGAAGTTGTTCCCAAGTAACGTGCTCCCCATAGATGACCTTCGCAATCCTCCGCCCGTCCCATAGGCTTCCATTAATTGAAGCCATGTACTGGCGATACATGAGTTCAGCGCTTTTGGAGGCCATGTACGTAGAAAGGCGTGAAAAGTTCAGGCACTGCTCCATGCTCCCCTGCTGTTGGCCCAAGTCCAATATCGACCTTTCTTCCTTCTTTGCTCCGTATTTCCCGTGACGGTTCTCCATCTCCTTCATAAACCCCACAACGAGTTCCTTGAACTCCACGATCGGTCGATTCTCTTCCTCGGAGAGACTCGTAAAGACATTCACTTCTGGAGTGACAGATAGCTGCTCTATAGGGGCCGCTTGGGCGTGGCTCCAATCAATGACTGCCACGAGGTTAAATTCATCGTCGAAAAGGAGATTGCCGTAATGAAGATCTAGATGACACAGCGGAAATGGCCCTCGAGCTCTTTCTTCAATGATACTGTGAGCTAGAGCTGTTTTCAACATCCAACATGCAGTAAGCCGATCTGGGCTATTTGGGTGTAATGCCATGATCTCTCGATTTTCTTTTTGCCGCTGATTATAAAAATATTCGAACGAGGTTCCTAAAGGCCCAGGCGTATGATGCCACTCCATAGGAATAATTTCGATGGACTGATCAGCGGTCTCTCCTGCCCAAAGCCGTCCGATGCGATCGAAGGTTAGGTTCTGAAGCTCGACAAGCACATTTGCAAGCTGTTTGGCTACCTTCGCATGGTATGGTTGGGGCACTGATAGTGCGAGAACGTTATCGAGTTGACGACCACCCAGATACTCCATCAAAATATATGGATATCCAAACGATTCGGGATTTGTTGATATCTCAAATCCAAATATACGAGGGATGGGAATATTTGTACGTTGACGAATAATGTTCATGGTGGCGATCTCGCTGAGCAACAAGGTCTTGGTCTTGTCGTCGATAATCTGATATGGAATTCGAGCAATCCAATAGACGCTGTCAGAAAATGCGAGCTCGAGAACCAGATTGTTGAAACCAGTTGCAAATTGGGTTAAATTTATGCCGCAGTCAACATCGAGGGGCATATTGGGCTGCGGTTGACATCGACGTCGTAAGTCTACTGCGCTTCTCTTCAGGTGCTCAAACTTTGCTGAAGAAAGTATGTGCTGGATTCGCTGATATTTGTCTGACTCTGGAATGAGATCGGTGAAACCTGGCCAATTTTCACTGGGTCTTGACATGGTGCCTGACAGTGGTAGGAATCGAATGGCCGCTGAGGGGGCAAAAAAAGGGTTCAACGCGTTGAACCAAGGAAGTGCAGTGAGAGGAAAGTAAAAGTAACCCAAGAAGCAGCAGTGACAGCAGGCAGCTCAGTGTTTATTAATCATGCGCAATTTGGAAACACAGATAGAATGCAGTAGTGATAGCTAGTAGTTATAACTAATGTAATCTATCATTCACCGTCCCAGTCCAGGCTTGAGATCTCAGACTCCTCATCTGACTCTTGAGTCCTCAATCACCTCGCCAGCCGCATCCCAATCTGCACATTCACCCAGTGCCAGATTTTTGCCGGTCAAGACGTCGAAAGCCTCTAGTTCTATGTTCAGTCGAGCATGCGTCAATACCCTCACTCTTTTCGGGCTCGCCATTTGTGCCACCAGCTCTTTCGCCTGCTGCTGCATATCCGCTTTCAGTTGAAGGAACCCTACCCCTGGGGAGGAACCACAGCGAGCGGCGTGTGTTGCTGAGGTAATCCGAGGAGAGTCATGTGATAGGCTGAGGTTGACAAGCACCTCATCCAAACGAAGATCAGTACTCGGCTGCTCGAGTTTCAGAGCATTGGGGCATATTTCGCGCATGCGCAATCTCAAACGCTGTAGGGTTGGAAGAAGCGCAGCTATATCTGTACAGATATGAAATCTTTCACCAGTTCGCGATGGCATGGGTCTGGTACCGCATAAATCCAGCTGTAGGCTAGCCAGGTTGCTCAGAGACAGGAAGCCGCGTATTGTCGATGTGAAGAGGTAGTCTCGGCGGTCTTGAAGATAAAACTCTGGGTGAGCTTCACTGGTGGCGTGGATGCGTAAATGGCGCAGTTTTCGCGATTGCTTGGTGATCCTCACTAGGTGCGAGATGTCATCATTCAGCACCCCTGACGTCCAGGCGTCACGGATTGCGTGTCCTTGGGCGCTGTTCCATGTTGCCTCGGGTTTGTCCGAGGTCAAGCCCCAGTCCTCAAAACCTTTCAATTCCAGGTCCAAAGCTATTACGCTGTCCTTGATGAAAGGCAGCCATGTCTCCTCACAGGGAGTGGAAAGCAAGCGCCGCAGCGTTTTTTGAGTAAGATGCAAATCCCGAAAGCAAGCGGAACGGGCATATATGCTCCACTGCTTGCAAACGGTGAGGCGTGATGGGTCAGAACGGAAATAGGCTGAGCCAACATCGTCGAAAATTTGAATGAGGATCTCCGGGGGGAGTTGGAGCAGAGGCATCGTGGTGAAGGCAGCCAATGACTCTTCGGTTTGCTTGAGATGTCTCAATTTCGGCGTCAGCAACTGGAATGCATGAACAGGATGCTCAGCCACGGAGAATGTTTTTGCTTTGGAGGTGGCAGCAGTGTGATGTTATCAATGTGCTCTGGCACGGAGTTCAGTGGAAGTCACAGTTGCCGAGCCAATGCTGAAGCTCAGCAGCAGTTTCCTTAGTTTGCCAGTAATTAGTGGTCATTTTTGTTAGTGGTTTTGTAATGATTGAGTATTGATGCAAGAGCCTTCTCATGTTGTTATTTGATCAAAGCATGTAAAGTCTGAATAATTTGATTAATAGAAACACTAATATTAGCTATTTATTTTGAGAGTTAAAAAAAAATTAAAATGCCTATCTACCTACGGAAACTGACCTTGCGGCGGAAAAAATGGAATCCCTCAAATTCGCTGGATACAATCAAATGTAGCAGAAAGGCAGTTGATAGATATTGTACTCCATAGCTTCTAAAAACAAAATTGAGATTGTGCTGCTATTTTGTGTTATAACTCCTCTATTACTGGCTTTCCCAGACTGCATCGGTCATATATGGTGATACCGATATCTCAACCAGGAGAGAAAGCACACCACGGATAGTCGCAAGCACCAAAGTCGCTCAGGCTTATAATTAAAAGTAAAATCCACCAGAATGACGCCAAATCGCGATTATTTATTCCCATCCATCGATTTTCATGGTTCCCTTTTCCTGCAGATTCTGATGCATCTTAAACGCCTGGGACAACAAGTGTGGCTCGTGGCCCATTCCCTTGCGGAGGCAGTAGGATTCAGCCCGGTCAAAATAATCCTGCAGAATAGGCTTATAATCGGGATGAGCGCATTTATCGATGATCACACGTGCACGCTCACGGGGTGAAAGACCTCGAACATCCGCCAAGCCCTGATAATAACAATGCAGTGTTAGTTCAACGAAAAACCTGAAAAATAGACTGGATGTGCTTTTTGAATCATACCTGTTCAGTGACAATGACGTCCAAATCGTGCTCCGTCTGATCAATGTGCGTGCAGAATGGAACAATGCAAGTGATACCAGTTGGATCGGTCTTGCTGGGACGTGTGCTGGGAGTGTGCATGATGCTATACTTGGAGCTACGCAGGAAATCAGCTGAGCCGCCCAGGCCATTCAGCATACGCGAGCCCATGACGCAAGTGCTGTTGGCATGTGCGTAGATGTCAACTTCGACGGGCGTGTTCATGCCGATAACACCGAGCCGGCGGATGATTTCAGGAGAGTTGGAGACTTGCTGCGAACGAAGGAGGAGCTTGTCATAGTAGTGCTCCCATCCGTCGTAGAACCGCTTAAATCCTTCGGGCGAGAAACGAATGGAAGTGGCAGTGGCAAAGTCTAGGTTACCACTATCGAAGAGATCCAGGAACGAATCCTGCAAGACTTCGGTCCAGACCTTGAGGTTATGGAAGTTGGCGCCGCCTTCAGCTAGGCCGCCAATAACTGCGTTGGCAATGTTGCCAATGCCAGACTGGATGGGGAGAAGGTTCTTTGGCAAACGACCCATTTTGACTTCGTGTTGAAGGAATTCGATCAAGTTACTTGCAATGGCACGAGACGCCTCGTCGGCTGGAGCGTTTGGTTGCGTTTGATCGGGGTAATCAGATTCAACAATAGCGACGACTCTGTCGGGGTCAATCGGAATGTGATTGGTTCCAATGCGGTCTTCTGGGGCCATGATGAGGTATGGCTTTCGTCGAGGAGGAATATCACACAAAGTGATGTCGTGCAATCCTTCGAAAGAGGGAGCTGCAGTGTTCACTTCGATAATAATCTTATCTGCCATCTGGACAATCTCTGGAGATGCCCCGACAGAAGCTCCGGGGATGATCCCGCCTTCTTCGGTAATAGCAGAGGCTTCGATAACGGCGACATCGAGCCTATTCTTGGGCCTATTTCGTGTATACCAGCCCTATAAGACAAGAGCATATCAATTAGTTCAAGGGAATATCCAACGGACAGGAGAGACCGCTTACATATACAAGGTCTGCCGGGAACATGCTGAGATGCTTGTCGAAAAACTTGATATTTCCATTGTTGATGCCCTTGGAAATATCCTTCCCGACTTGATGAGGCGATCTTCTATCGATCATATTAAGTCGCGCCCATCGGTTTTCAGTCTCCGCACCAGACGACGCGCCCACAAAAAGCGTATATTTCAGTTTCCCTTCCAGATTATTCTTCTCGACATGGTCTGCTAATGCAGTTGGGACTTTTCTAGAGAGATGGAACGTTAGATAAACCGCACACCTTCATCCGTCAACGTGTCTAGCAACTTACTTGGGATAGCCAACACCCGTGAAGCCAGACCAACCAATATAAGCTCCATTGGGAAAGTAGTGAATCAAGTCTTCCGCCTTTGCGAGCTTTGACAGCATCGACGCCCGTCTGACACGGCTTCTCAAAAGCGCAGAAACAGTCATTTTTAGAACTTTTTTGCCGCTCACTTAGAGAACGACGTTTCTCTTCTCAAAAACGACAATGAAGTGAACTATATCGCAGGTCGGGGTAAAGGAGTGAGAAGAGATACGGGGGAAGTCTATTTATTTTGCAGCCCAAAATCAGTTGGAGCAAAGAACAGCCTGGTTGTCTCCAGGTCTCAAAGGGCACTTTCAGAAAGAAGCTGCTAGCAAAATCAAAGCCAGGCCGGCGAGACTGAGATGGTACCAAAGAAATGCACAACAAGGAACAGAAGAATGAAGAGGAGCAGAAGGAAAATTCTCAGCCCACAAAAAGTGAAAACGGGGAACTTTCCATTCGCTTCAAGAGAGAAACCATGAAAACCGATTAGCTTCCAGCACCGTTGATGGGCTCTGACGTAACTGACCCAGCTCCTCCATCGGTATATCTTCGGATGATCAAGCCCAAGCCTTCCACTGAGGGCGGCGCACGCTATGAGTTCCTACCGGGAGAAGTGAGGTTCAACTGTGGTCAAGGGCCAGAATCTACATCGCTTCAGCTTTGCGCTCGGCCCGCGAGCCACTTCATCGCTGGCACTCCATCAATTGATAGCCGAGACGTCTCACGGATGAGTGGAAGTTGCTGGTCAGTGCTTAGTTATCTGATCGACCGCGGTTATCTCCCGACGCTACGGGATTCGGCTTATAGTTATTCCAGACTCCTAGTTATCACAATCAAGTGCTGCGAAGATTATGGATCATGATTTCAATCTCCTAACTAATGATACAGTAGAATACAGAATGATCCTCCAAGTATGCCGAATGTGGTTTGAATTCAAACTGACTGCTGCAAATATGCATCAAACAAGAATGGATTTTGCGAAGAAATGTAAACAAGCAACCACGGAGAGGTTACCGTTGAAATCCTGCTAACCCCCCAATCCTTGATCACCGAAAACCGAAGCAATGCGTCTAATTTCCGTTGGAAAGTTCCTATTCACACAGGCAGGTCTGTGCTTTCACACCTAGCGCCAACAACCGTTCTGATTTCGTTCATCCTTGCAAAGTTTGAAATATCAATCAGCATTAGTCATAACCTCATCCACATTATCCTGTTGATCTTCGGACTTTCCCACTGGGCTTTTCTCCGAGTGCGGGCTATCTTTATCGGTAGCTCCAACCCATGTTCTGAACCGCTGTTTTGATTCCTCAACTTCTTCCTCGTTCAAGCCGTGGACCCAACTAGAATTGTTCATGAACTTTTCCCTGAAACGTTCCTTCCGCTTTTCCTTGACCACGGTATGATCCCCGATAGCGCTCTTTTGAGTATCTTTTGGTTGTGGAATGCGGCACCACCATTCCTCTGTTCCCGGCTCGTAGAGAATGTGATAGCTATTGGCGCAGATCCGAATTACCAAGCCCTCGTTGCTGATCAGGGGCCTGAAGAACTGGCTGTACTCTTCATCAGATTCCAGCTTTGGAGGCAGATTACGTTTTAGGAACGGAATGCGCATATCGGAAAATAAAACCCCCTCGGTAGGGTCACGCATGCTATACGCAGATACATAATAGGACCACTTCGCTTCTGGCGTCAAATCGTTATTTTCGAGGGTGCTGTCTTCAGTAGTGAAGAGCTGAATTGTTGCAGTGCTTGAAGTGGGTACCTGAGGAGACTAAATTAGCCTAACATTACAACCCAAGGAGAAGGAGGAGCTCACGTAAGAGATACGGTAGATATCTCCATCCTTTATCATCTTTTCCACCTGCTTGCGGTACTGAATTTCGTGGTTATGAGTCGTCTCTTCCTTGTCCCTCTCCTTGAAGAAAAGATTCACAATGTCGGCGCTCTTGTCTTTTGGATCCGTGTTGAAGATATTACTTGCAAATTTTGCGATCGCGGCGAGTTGTTTATCAAGCGTGTAAAGCTCCCAGCCACGGTTTCTGTTGTAGAAGCGGCGTAAAATCTCTTCTAGGTGAGAGGTGTCTGCGTTACCTTTCACAACTTCTTCGCACATGCGGATCATTTGCTGATAAAGATTCGATTTTGGATCCGTGTCATAAAAGAACTCTTTTGGTATCTTGTCCAACATTCCTAAATCGTGAGCTGCTTTGGGGGCGATTGCGCGACGCAATTCTTCATGGGCCGCTTCTTCACCTCCCTTTAAGTGCAAGAGGCGCGTATATAGCATCTCAAAGGTGCGAAGGAAGCAGTAAATGGTTAGATTTCCGTAAAGATGATGCACTTTTTTCTTATAAGGCTCATTCAATGGGTACTCGCGCTGTTGGTTGAAGTTCCCTTGATTAGGATGTTCCATCCACTGTAGCTCAGCGGAATCGAAAGTCCCATTAGAATCAGGCGCCGGAGTTGAACCAGTAGTGGACCCAAGTCCTGGAGTGGAAAAACGGCTAATCGACGGTGTAAACTTGTCACCATCAGGTCTCAATGACTTATCACCACGATTATCGAGGACGTCACGTAGAAGGTCCAACTTTTTACTATTAACCATACGTCGAGTACGAAGCCCATTTATTTCATCGGATGGCACACTTTCATTATCCATGTCTTCATTAACGGGAGTGGTGTCGTAAACTTCGCTCAGGTATGTTCTCACTGCGTCTCGATCCATACCAAAAAATACAGGGATGAAGTCTCTCACGAAATTCATCACCTTTTGAGGATCGGTGCCGAAACCAGCTGAATTATGATCGATGTAGCAAAGTACCAGGTGTGTGGCGTCAAGGATAACTTCCGAGTCGGTGAAAGTATGCTTGAATTGGTAACTAAGTACCGGATATCCGCTTCGACGAAGTGCTCTTGCTTCTTCAAATTTAGCCTGTATTTCCGCTTGGAAGTGTTTCGTTGTGAGGAGCTTCTTGTCGTCTTTCTTATTAATAGAGGATTGATGGTCAAGACTCCTCCAGTATCCCTTTTGCATTTGCTCCCGCCAGACCTTTTCCCATTCACGCTATGGAAACGTTAGTGTTCAATGAACTGAAGCCTTAAGCTTAGTAGACTCACCTGGCTGAGCTTCCATTCTTCAATCTTTTGTTTTAGGCGAGCAATAACGATAGGGAGAACCTGAGACGGGTTTAAAAACAGCTCCTCAAGGATGCGAAGACCATATTCCTTCTCATAGATCTTTTTGATAACCTTCTTGTAGATGGTTTCGCTTTGGCCACCTAACCCCGGTGGTAGTTTAAAGTTCGCCCGGTCAGTTTCGCTCATAACCGAGACTTGCTGCAGCAAAGCCTCCATTAACTGAATTGTCCGGATTCCGGCTTCGATGTAGTGATCGTAATCATGGCGATCTTCTTCAACACGATGTAAAGAGTCTTCATGTTGGTTTTTACGATGGGCGACAAAACCAGAATCTTCCGAAGCCCAGGTAGGATGCGAAGCCCACTCATCGTTAAGTACACTCTGGCAAAGTTCATCACGGCCGCTGCAAGGTTTCTGTCTCTCAAGTTTTGGAAGAAGTCGGTAGCTAGGGCCAAGAGCTCGACAGTGGGCGAGATTGACGATTCCCGACTCGTCTTTGGCTTTTGGTTCAATGATTTCATCCTTGGGCTCGATATGCATGAATCGTTTAAACCAATTCATTAGTTCCTGACTTGAGCCAATGAACCCTGCCGTTTTGTTGACAAGGACGTTTCTGTCAATCAAGTCCGAGGAATACAGGTTGCATAGCTTCAAGAACTCGCTGAATACTTGCTTGTTGCCAATAAACTTTTTAACACGATCGAAAAATGCGTATTCTTCGTGAGATGCCGAAAGTGTAAATGTAGGTGGAATTGGTTCAGGGGGAGCCGGAACTAGAGTTGGGGAAATCATAGGTGTAACCTCCGCGGGTGCAGGTTTGTGAGACAGTTTCGTTTTCTGTAAGATATGCTGTCAGTGTCCGAATCATCAATGGATGAATCAGTCAGAGTGCGACGCAATGCGTGCGTGCTAAAGAGTCAAGGGGCACGGGAACAATTGCGAATCTTCAAGCACACGTGAAGCTATTGTACAAACAAAGCAGTATTGGGGAAAAGACATGTGCAGTTACTGACGCAAAACCAAATTGACCAAATGTTTTACAGGAGCGTGAAAAGGTGCGTGAAAGAATAAAGCTATTGCACTGCCCCTTGATCTGGCCTAAAGCGGTCGGGGATATCGAGGGAATAACAAGTATTACGGAAGATTAAGCAAATCGGCGTACCTTGTTGACATTTCCAATTTGCGAAGCTTGGGCTTTATTTCCTCCCCCGACAGATGAAGCGTCAAGCGGGCCAGCACCACCCATAGCAGCACCGCCAGCTTGAGCACCGGGTCCACCACGTCGCTTTTTGCTCTCCTTTGCAGAGTCCTTCACATTAAACTGTCCCAAAGGGGGCATCTTGACATTGTCTCGAGATGATTGGCCTTGGAGCCCAGCGGCGCCATAGCCAGGTTCTCCACGAACATTGCTCATAGCAATGGGAACTTCATCTTGGCGCACTGGTCCTTGCACCTTCGCTTGAGCGGCTGATTCAGGGAGAAACTGCTTGAAATCTTCAAGGAGATCCGGGGCAGAATTGAAAAGAACGGTAACTTGCGCGTATACATCTTGGATCGGTTTAGATTCTCTTTGGTATGTTTGTAAGATTTCAAGGAATTGTTTGTAGATTTCCGGAGAGTCAGCAAAGCGATTCTAATCGATCACCTGTTAGCAGCTGGTCGCTTCGACCCACCAAAGATATGAGGATCTTACTTTGATCTTGTTAACGTAGCTGATTGCATGGTTGAACTCGACAGGGCCACGTCGAGTAGCTTCACTTTGACCTCCTGGAAGACCGCCAGAGCCCAGTCCGGCCAAAGAGTTCGCAGGCTGGTTAGGGCCAGGGGTTTGGCTACTCGTTGGAGGCAGCTGCAATACAGATCTTCCCGCTCCTCCGGTCGCGACGGAAACTGCATTCTGTAGTTGGGACACTCCCCGCTGTTCCTGTTGATGGAGCATGGCAGCAGTCGTTGCGGGAGTTGGCTGTTCGTGCTGGTTCTGATACTCGTAAGACCCTTCTTGATGCTGCCCTTGTGCGTTTTGCGGACCATACTGCGGCTGAGGGACGATTCTGCCACTTGGTGAATAAGAACGAACGGCACTAGGCATTGGGCCCTGTGCAGGCTGCTGCTGCCCGTGACCCGCCTGCCAACCTGGACGTGATTGCTCGTAATACTCGGTGTGGCCAGAGGGAACCAAACCGCCGCTTTGCCCTGGCTCATTCGCACTTTCCAAAGAAGGACGCGTTGCTGACATTGAAATCGTGTTCGTACCAGACGGGGTTGTAACCCGAATCGCATCCGGATTGTCGTCTGGTCCACACTCAATCCTATATCCAGGTGGGAGAAAGGTATTGAATCCTTGAATGAGACTAGGATGACCATTAAAGAGCGTTGACACGCGTTGAATAACTCCAGGCGTGTCAATACTACTAGAATGTTAGAAATGTGAATCTGCGGTTGGAAAGTACGATAATAACTCACGCTTGACTTTTAAAATCCTTCATGATATCAAGGAACCGATTATAGACGTCAGGTTGCTCGACAAATCGTACCTTAACCTGGTCCAGGTAGCTAAGCGCATCCTGGGTATTGGGCGCCATTAGTATGGATGATCACCAAAGGAGACAAGAGATATTATGATGAAGCATCCGCTGTGCATGTTGCACTGTGTTTGGTAAAGAGACATTTGAGAAACAGGATCCACGAAATAAACCACAACAACAAGGGCAAATTTGTCAGCGTCAAAACAATAGCATGTTCCGGAACCCTGGCTTCTGAGGAAAAATTTTCTTTTTCCCAAAGGTAACGGCAGAGGTTCAACTTTGCCTTCTGAAAAAGTGGTATGAAATCACACACGTGCTGGAAAAGTGGTTAACAAGACTTACATTTAGTATCGGCTGCTGTCCTTGCGCCAAAGCAGCTACACTTCCCGGGATCTGTGATGGTGCAGCCCCACTGAAACCCAACAGGGACTGAGATTGAACCGGCATATACTGCCTTGACGGCCCATCTGGGTGCTGCATTGGGCCGTTGAATAAGCCTCCGGGGACGTTAGGACCTTGAAGAGAATTTTGAGGCGCATTCGGTACAGCATTGGCACCAAGATTCGAGAGCAAACCGTTGGGACCATGAATTGAATTTTGGACCTTGGAAGCAACTGGTTGGTGTATGGGGATCGAGCCAGTGTGGCTTTGCACAGGATGGTGCTGTTGCTGTTCGCGATGGTACCGTTCGGCATGTTCTCGGTCCCTTTCGCGCATCTCGCGCTCTCGTTGCATCATTTCCTCCTCCCGCTGTATTTCCCGTTGCCTTTCAAGCATATCTCGATCCCTATCACGGGGTTCTCTTTCTCGATCTCTGCTAAGGGACGATGGCGGTGACGAATGCTGCATCGACTGACTGATGCCCGGAAGGGAATGGGCTGCTCCTAGAGAGGGCTGTTGATGCTGGGCATATCTTGGTGGTTGTTGGTGGGAAGGCGGCGGTACAGCGGCGCCCTGTGTCAAATCGGCCAAAGTGGGAAGAGTATGGCTGGAAGGCTGGCTCACGGCATGATATGGGCCTGCTGATTCAAAAGATTAGTGAATAACCACCAAATGCGCAGGCAAAGAACCTCTACGAATCGCCGACGATGCCAGGAAGTGAATAGTCGCAAATGATAGCAATCCATGAAGAATCGAAGTCTCACTGCGGTCGGCAAGTTTAGCACGGATCTTGAGGCACAGGTGAAGGATGGGCACTTACCCATAGCCAAGGGGTCTAGTTGACGGTTGTCCGAGCTGCTCTACTCCCGGATGGGGTTGCGGGCCACTACCCCCGGAATGCCAACCATCTTTATTTGATGGGTTCATAGCGATAGGATAGTCTATCCCTCGCTCTTGAGAAGCACGACGTGAAGACGGGTGATCTCACGAAATGTAGGGGGAATGCGATACGGCGTCTACTGTTGCTTGCGGAGGCTTATTGCAGCAAAAGTTCAAAATCACATGGCAGATATTAAGAAGAGAGAAAGATTGCGACAAGTATGGGGCACTTCTAAAGGAAAGGAATAGTACGGACGGGTGGTAAATGTCGAGTGAGTTGACGCTGGCCTGATGCGGCGGTGACGTGAAGTGAAGTTAGGAGTTCAATCTTTTCTGCCGGGTGGACTTTTCCGCATTGGGATTAGCGGGACTGCCCATTTAGCTTTCGCCATCTCTCAAAATAGCCCCACTTTTGGCTGCTAGCCGGCTAACCCCATTAGGAGGTTATGTCATCATGCCGGCGAGCAGGCGACATCGCCAATGATTGACGGGAGTATTCATCCCCTCAACTTGGGGATGATTTATGAGCGTCTGAGACGTGCCTGGTTTGTGGATACAAGCCTAAGCTTTGTGCTTGTATATGTATAGTTAACTATTAGAAGACGATGATTGGCTCCGGTAGTAAGGCTTGAGACCCAATGGCCGCGATGTCAATCCACAATGAGCGGCGGACTTGATGAAGAGAGATAACTAGGGATTGTAACTAGATGACTGCATCTAAATGTACAAATTCTCCAGTGATGTGTGTTTGATCCTCACATTGGATTTGCGCTGGAAATTCTCGGAAGATACTCAGAGTTGAGATAGTTTAGCTACCGTCCCAAGTCTAGCCGGGTTCAGCGCAGCACGAGGGATTTGCATTCGAATCGCTCCCCTGATGAAAGCTGTTAAGAACTGTTTATTTCGCTGTTTGAATCCCGCACGGTGCCGGCGGTATGATGGCTACTAAGTCAAACAGCGTTATGGAAAACCGCCGTTCGTTCTACAGAGGCAGCAACTTTCAATATACTCTTTCCTCGCGTCTCTCAGCCAGTTTCAAAGACGCATCCTGCATCTTTTACCACTTCAATCCTGAATCTACCACTTGTCAAATCCATATTTTCCTTACCGTGTTTTGCACATGGGCCATAGCGGAGAGACACTGGATGAAATTATCTTGCTTCGCTATTGATAGTATCTTTGGGCCTAGGGAAGGGATCACCAATCTCGAGACAGTGAGGCCCATGATATTGAGCTTTGCCCATGCATCCTGGATTGTTGTCTTCGCATGTGAAGATACAATTCACATGCTTGAAGCATGTAATAATAAGGTTCACCTGACCAGCGCCAATGAACTAACATGTGGTAGCAAATGAGAAAGAAGTTGAATCCTCATCACAAATTTAACTATGGAGGCCATGAGCACTTTTGTATGTATTTACGGCTGCGGGGGGTGATGTTTGACAAGTCCTTTTCGTCTGAATTCTCCTCTGAGCGTGTTTCCCCAGATTAGATAATGAAACGAGAAAATGTACCGCGGTTGAGCGTCATTCCTGGTGGGCTGCTTGCCGCCGATATGATTGGCCCTGACAGACGCTCCGAAACCCGGGGTGAAATGCGCTAGTATTGCTTTTCAGGTGACGATCGAATTCCATGTTGAATCATTGGCTAGCCTAGGCGGTAGCACGCGGCAGAAGCTCGGCGGGTGGTAATATTACGGCTTTCTTTCACGGTGTGGAGATACCTCGGCCGAGATGGGCTTGGTGCAGCTCTCCAGCGCCCGCTGTCCCAATGGAGCCAAATCGAAGTCAACTTCTCTCTCCTTCTTAACTGATCTTCCTTTCGTCTCCTTGCCTCACCTCTCTCACTCTTTTTCTCGCATTGCCGATTTGTGCATCGTTCTATTCCGTATTCTCATACATCACAAAGCCATGGCTGCTCCGCAAAAGGTCATCGTCGTCGGCGGTGGATGTAAGTGCTATCAACTTGGTCCCCTTCACATGACGACGAGAGGGCTGACTTCTTTCGAATACAGTGTCCGGCCTGAGTGCTGCCCACACAGTCTACCTAAACGGCGGCAACGTATTAGTTCTTGACAAGCAGAGTGAGTAGCTGTAGCAGGCTTATGGTGTGGTTTGATGCTCATCGCTGTTACATAGGTTTCTTCGGTGGCAACTCCACGAAAGCGACATCCGGAATCAACGGTGCCCTTACGAGAACACAAGTCGAACTGGGCATTGGCGATAGCGTAAAACAATTCTACGAAGATACCCTGAAATCTGCCAGAGACAAGGCTCGCCCCGACCTAATCAAAGTTCTCACATACAAGTCCGCTTCGGCTGTTGAATGGCTTCAAGATGTTTTTGATCTCGACTTAACCCTTGTTTCCCGTCTTGGGTAAGTGCAATTATATTGGACTGTGGCGAGGCTCGTATTTGCTAACATTAGAGGATAGCGGTCACTCGTTCCCTCGTACTCACCGTGGCCACGATGCCAAATTCCCGGGGATGGCAATCACATATGCCCTTATGCAAAAGTTGGAAGAGCTTACAGAAAAGGAGCCAAACCGTGTGCAAGTGTTGAAGAAGGCCAGAGTGACTGGAATTAACCGAGAGGGTAACAAGGTCACTGGCGTTACCTACGAATACAATGGTGAAATGCACAGCGCCGATGGTGTTGTTGTGTTGGCCACCGGTGGGTATGCCGCAGACTTCACGGAAAATTCTCTTTTGAAGAAATGGCGTCCGGACACTTTCAACCTCTCCAGCACAAACGGTGTTCATGCCACTGGTGACGGACAAAAGATGTTGATGGCCATCGGCGCCAATGACATCGATATGGACAAAGTTCAGGTTCACCCAACTGGTCTCGTCGATCCCAAAGATCCTACTTCCAAATGGAAGTTCTTAGCTGCTGAAGGTATGTCACAGCTGAAAGATAACTATATTACAGGCTAACAGTTCAAAGCTCTTCGTGGTGAGGGTGGTCTTCTCCTCAACAAGGATGGTCAGCGATTCGCCGACGAGCTTGGTCACCGTGATTATGTCTCTGGAGAGATGTGGAAGGAGAAGGAGAAGGGCAAATGGCCCATCAGGCTTGTGCTCAATAGCAAAGCTTCCAATGTCTTGGACTTCCATACCCGCCATTATTCTGGCCGCGGTTTGATGAAGAAGATGACCGGGAAGGAACTTGCCCAAGAGATCGGCTGTGGTGAAGCCGCGTTGAAGAAGACCTTTGATGACTACAACCAGATTGCGGACGGCAAGAAGAAGGATCCTTTCGGCAAGAAATATTTCCATAACTTGCCGTTCTCCACCGACGACACATTCCACGTTGCCGTGATGGAGCCTGTTCTTCATTTCACCATGGGCGGTATCGAGATCAATGACAAGGCTCAAGTTCTGAACAAGGAGGGCAAGCCTTTCGATGGCTTGTTTGTCTGTGGTGAGCTTGCAGGTGGCGTCCATGGCTCTAACCGTCTCGGTGGCTCTTCTCTACTCGGCTGTGTCGTTTATGGTCGCGTTGCTGGTGACTCTGCTAGCGAGTATCTCTTCCAACAAGTGCTTTCGAACCCTAGCGCAACCGCACAGAACCGATTGAACCAAATTTCTCTTCACATTGACCCTTCGCAGCCCGGCAAGATCTCGGTTGAATGGACCGCTCCGGGTGAAAACAAGGGCCAAGCACAAATCTCGGCCCCCAAGGCCGATACTTCCGCAACCCCAGCGCCTGCCCCAGCATCCACGCCCGCCGCCGCTGCAGCCGTCCCAGGCGCTCCAGCCGCAGACGTGTCGGACTTCAAAGTTCCAGAGAAAGAATTTACGATGGAAGAAGTTGCCAAGCACAACAAGAAAGATGATCTGTGGATTGTCGTCAAGGGCGTCGTAATGGATGTCACCAACTGGCTTGATGAGCATCCTGGTGGTGCCCAGGCCTTGTTTAGCCACATGGGTAGAGATGCTACGGAAGGTAGGTTAACCACTTGATCATTGGCTTGTTGTAGAGTCACGCTGACATTTTATTGCAGAATTCGAGATGCTCCACGACGACGAAGTCATTCCCAAGTATGCTTCTCAAATCGTTATCGGACGTGTCAAGGGACAGACCCCAAGCCTAAAGTTCTAGATATCCCCGCTCCGACTCTCTAATAGACAATACACTCTTATTTTGACGCCATGGATATGCTAGGTTACCTTTTTTAAGTGCCTTTTCCACGTTTTCATTTGATTCCATGTATTCCAATAACCATTTTTCTTTGGGTGGTCTTCTTTCTATGTAAATAAGCTGCGCGCGGTATTTATTAGGGCCAATACTGTTAAAATTATCTATCAGACATACCATTGCGTAATGTATAGCCATCAACCATCGTACCATGACCGTCTATATGCTACGCTAACAATCAGAATATATATACAAATCCGACATGGCGAGAAAAGGAAAACCGATGGAAAACTACGCAGCGGCGTTCTTGTCCTTTAAATGTGCCAGTATCATCCCCAGCCTTCTCACGGCTGGCCCTCCATAAACACCACCATCACTCATATCCGCGTCTGCACCGGTCTCCTTCCGCTCCTCAACCTCCTTCCTCGCCTCCTCTGTATATGTCTTGAGCATGCCACCCCAGACGGAATCCGTGTACGAGGCGTCAAGGTCGAGCCATTCGGAAACCGTGGGGATGGAGTCGAGTTCGTCCGGTGGTAGGGAGAGGAGGGATTGGATATCTGGAAGAAGTGAGAGGGGCGATAGAGGGTTGGAAAGAGGTGCAGCTGTGGTGGTCGTGGTGTTGGCGGTTGGGGCGAGGGTGGGAGACGGAGGGACGGAGGATGGGGTTAGAGGGTCGAAGGAAGGGTCGGAAAGGAGGGAGAGGACAGCGGAGCCATCGACTGTTGGGGATGCGGGCTGGGTCCAGGCGGATTCAAAGAGGGCGCTGGGTTTGGCATGGAGATCTGTTGTTTCTTGGGTGGTCATTCTGCCTTTGCCTTTTCCGGTGTGGGATTCCGGTGATGATAACGCCGCCTCTATATTCAGTTGGTCTTCAAAAGATTTGAGCAGCTCAACGTTCTCTTGGTCAGCTGCGGAAATGTAGCTCGATCGGAATGATTCGAAATGTACGCCCCCGCCTCGCACTGCGTTTGCACCAGACGCCGACGCCGCATGTTGCCGACTTGACGGTTGCAAATCATTTATCGCACCATGCGCGGATGATTCCCCGGCCAAAAAAGCACGGCCATACGAAGAATCGGGTTTGTCAGAATTCGCTAGGCTTCTCGAGAGGCCTGAAGAAAGGCTGTGGCCGAGAGCAGGCGAACGGGTGTTGAGGGCGCTTTGCACGAGGCCGGAGGCCGAAGATTGGATTCTGCTCGAAAGGGATGGCTCGGCGGGGTGATTGGAATCGCGACGGCCAGGTTTAGGAGGGATATCCTGGCCGTCGCTTTTGTCGCCGGGCAATCCAGGCTCTTTGTCTCCCATCTTCCGGGCCAGGGGAGGGTGGTTTTTCTAGGAAAAAAGATTGTACTCCGGGAAGCGGTCCTGTGCCCTGACCTTGCTCGAGACCCTAGAGTTATAAAGTCCGGAGTGGAAGCAATTAGAGTAGCGACCTGGAGTGTTTCGGTCTGATCAAGCCTCAGGAAGAGGGAGACTTGCCTGGTGAGTAGGGCTGTAGTTAATGGTTAACACGGGTTGATGTTTCGCATGTGATGGCGAGAAAGCCTCTTGTCCCTTGAAATAGATTGTTCCGGAGCATAAGATGGCCAATTCAAGACATAGTTAGTGGTTTAAAGACTGCCTGCAATATTAACAGGAGCTATGAAAAGAGAAGACCAATGTATGTGGTGAATGCGTGTTTGTCACTGGAAAGAGTGCTGGATTGCAAACTGCGGGATCGCTAGTTACATCTCGTGCTGACGGCCATTTCCGAAAATCCCCTGCAGGAGTGAATATCAAAAGGGCAGCTCTTGTTAGAATTGATTCCTCCCGCTCAGGCTGTTCTGTGTTGTTGATATTAAATGCTCAACTTGTTACATCACAGAGTTGTGTCCAGGTTTGGCTGCTTCCCTCTTCTTCCTCTTCCTCTTTGCTTGCTTTCTCTCCCCTCCATCTCTTCCCCCCGTCTGTCCTAACGACCACCACCCGCCTCATCGCTGCTCCATCAACATATTCTCCCCTCTACCGCGAATTCTCTGCTTCTCGCTTCTCTTTCTACTATCCGTGCATCTTGTCCTCTTCTGCTTCTCTCTCTGCACCTCGCGCTCCTCTTCCCACCCCACAGCCATCAGCATCTCTGCTCCTCCAGCTAGCTCAGCACTTTCGCAAACCAACGTTCTATCTGCACCATAGCATAGCCCTACTTTTCTCCGTTGTCTTCTGGTAAGTGAAGAGGATACACCCCGCCCCGCGTCTAGCCATGTTGCACTGTTCCTGTCACCGTCCTATTGCCTTTCCGTCACCTTCCCGTCACTTGTCTCTGAGCTTCCCGTCACTTCAGAGCTGAAGTGAGGTGAGCCTGAGGTGCTCAATTGCCCATGTCAAAACTTATAATCCTCTCGCTGCCTTCTTCGTCAATCTATTTCCCAACCATGATGCGATCTCCTAGCTTGTGCTAAGCTAATATCGTCGTTGCGTGCAGCATTCACCTTCAGACCGAACCGCTTCAGACCGAAATCATTTGAGACCGGACCACTCCACTGAACCGCTTCAGACCGAACTGCTTCTTCACTTCTTTTCCTTGACGACATTACATCGTTTATAATCACCAACAGCGACCACTGTTTGGCATATCCTGCAAAAAGCTCTGCTTGTATCTATTCCCAGACCTCTTGCACTTTGTTGGTGGGATTTAATTGGATTTCGATTGAGATATACTACCTCAGGCGCGGGTAGTGATTCGGAAAAATGGGTGACGGAGATCAGGCTTCACTTACGTGGAAATTTACACAGTACGTCTTGATTTCTTCCCGAACACTTATGCTGCCCGGGCTCTTTGCAATGTTGGATACCAGCTACTTGCTTTTCAGCTTGGTTGCCAGACATATCAGATGTAGTTCCACTTGTTGGGGCACTGTACTTATTCTTGGCTAGATGCTTTGGTGATAAGGGTGATGTCGAAGATATAACTGAAGGTATGTCGAATTGTCGCATTCTAGTTATATACCTTGTTTGATAGGATCTAAATCGCGCTGATCAACCTGACTGACCTGTTTGATTTTCCCGTAGCCGACATTATCTCCACTGTCGAATTCGATCATACCGGTAACTATTTGGCCACTGGCGACAAAGGGGGTCGAGTCGTCCTTTTTGAGCGGAATGAGACGGTACGCATGTTACATTTGGAACGAGAAACGAGTCGGCTAATGTTGGCGATTTAGAAAAAAACATGCGAATACAAATTTCATACGGAATTCCAGTCCCACGAGCCGGAGTTCGATTACCTTAAATCATTGGAAATTGAAGAAAAGATTAACAAGATAAAATGGTGCAGACGACAGAATGCTTCTCATTTCCTCCTTTCAACAAACGACAAGACTATAAAGCTCTGGAAGGTGTTTGACAAATCTTTGAAGGTCGTCGCAGAGAATAACCTTTCCCATGATCTGACTCCGGGTAGCGCCGTTGGTGGAGGAGGTGTCCCACGAGCGCCGCGCATTCCATTGAAGGACGCATCTGCCCTCAAGTTGCCTCGCATGACACATCATGATACCGTAGTTGCGGCGGTTCCGCGACGTATTTACGCCAACGCTCATGCCTATCATATCAACTCCATATCCGTTAACAGTGACGGAGAGACGTTTATCAGTAGCGACGATCTCCGCATCAATTTATGGAACTTGAATATTCAAGATCAGAGTTTCAACATTGTCGATATCAAGCCTGCGAATATGGAAGAATTGACGGAAGTCATCACTGCCGCAGAATTTCACCCCATTAGTTGCAACTGGTTTATGTATGCTAGCTCCAAGGGAACGATCAAGTTGGCCGACATGAGGCAAAGTGCTCTTTGCGACAACCATACCAAACGTACGTGTTCCCCGTTTCCCTTTCTATTCTCTGCCTTGCAATTTTCGTGGCAGGTTATCGTACTCATTACTTCATTGGTTCACAGAATTCGAACAAGAAGAGGAAGTTTCTACTCGATCTTTCTTTTCTGAAATCATTTCATCCATCTCTGATGTCCGCTTCTCCCACAATGGGCGCTATATTGTCTCCCGAGACTACCTTACCGTGAAAATCTGGGATGTCAACATGGAACGTCAACCACTCAAAACTATTCCGATCCACGAACACCTTCGGCCACGGTTATGTGACACTTATGAAAATGATAGCATCTTCGATAAGTTTGAGGTTGTCTTCTCCGGCGATACGAAGCATGCCATGACTGGAAGTTATAACAACAACTTTATGATTTATCCTACGGATCCAAGTCTAGAAACTGAAGTCGTTCTCCAGGCGGATAAAGCTGCATTCAAGGCAAAGAAGGTTGGCGTTCCAACTCCTATCAATTCCTCCATCTCGACCAATGCTGGCAATAAAAAGAGCGGATCAAGAGCTGGTAGCCCTGCTGGGATGGGAGGTCGCATGCGAAAAGAAACAGATGCCGATCAAATTGATTTCAACAAGAAGATTCTACACATGAGTTGGCATCCATTTGAAGACAGTATCGCTATTGCTGCTACCAACAATGTAAGTCTCCATCATCAACTTCCATTTCAAGCAATTGAGTGCCATAATACTAACGGCTCTTGTATTCTCTAGTTATTTGTATTCTCAGCTTTGTGAAGCAGAGGGTGATCACACTGGACCTAACCCAACTTTACAAACCCTGTGGCGGTTGGAAGCTCCCTGATATCCCCCTCTTCTTCAGTTGCATATTTAACTCAATCAGATCTGCATTATGGCTATGGTACAGGAGCGTGCGCACATTTGTTTAAGAGAGGAAAACCAAATTTTTTTTTCATAGATAGCTATTTGTACCCTAAGACATGTGCCTATGTCTCCTTAACTGCAAAGGGCATTCAGGGAGGGAGGAAGCTCTGTTTGCGCCGCAGATTGTGCATAAGCGCTAGGATGGAATGTCAAGGGAGATGAAGAGAAATGCTGGGGATGGTTTTAAGCACAGGTCAGACTGGATTGATTCTATGGCAATTGGGGTTAGGTTGACGACTTGGTAGGGACAGATGGATATGCAATGGAAATGAATAAATGATCCTCTTGGATTAGAATTGTTCGACCTTATTTGTAGCCCTTGCAGCCCATAGGTTGGATGCTTTGTTAGGCTGTCCATCGCTTTGTCGGAAAATAGCTTAAGATTTGATCAGGTGTGGAAGCCATTTTTCTTATTGATCTATTGTTCTTATTTATACCACCTGAACGCTCTTTAGAAATCTACTATCCAAACCGAATTACACGGCGATCTCAGCAGATTTGATCCTCGGCTGCTTGCTGGGTTCGAAAGGATATACGCAGAGGGCCCTGCATTATTATCATACCGCGAGCCCGAGATGCCAGAGTTAACCACAAAGATCCATTGTAGCAAAAGGAAACAATAAGCAAGATTGGTCTATGCATTCATTTATCACGCCCTTCGGCATCGAGGGCCTCGTCATGGTATCTCCAGCCTTTCTCTAAGCCGAATATAGTGCCCAAAAGAAGCCCCTTGATGGTCCATATGTGGTTATTTATCGTTATTAGGATTAAAATGATGGTTAGTGCCGTTGACCAGACATCGAAGGCTGGGGACTTCATGATTTTGCCGAGCATCACGGCTGCGTTGGTGTATACGCCCTGCATGTAGATAGATATCCTTTAGTTCAATCTAACGTTTCAAGTTTTTAATAACTATGGAAAATCAAGGCACCATAGGAATTGCAGTTACTCACCCACGGGAAGACGAGCGACCAAGCACCCAGTGTGAATTTTGTCTGCCGCCAACCACCTGGCTGGGCAAAAAGGGTGTGCGCGATGCTTAGGAGGGAAAAGGTCCACCAGAACGTGCCAAACCCCCAGGACAACAAGCCAGCGAGCTGGCTGGATATACCCACTGTGGGTGCGGCACTGGCAGTGATAAAGGTCCCGCGGTTATATGCCGCAAAACTCCCGCGCTGAACGGCCTGGCCTAACATTTGTAGGGCAAAGCTTGCTTGGCCAAAGGGCCCGCAGAGGATCATGGTCTGATAGATCTCCTTCTTGGTAGGGAACGACTGGTCGAATAGGCGTGCGAGGTAGATTGTTTCCAAGGCGACTGCGAGGGGTAGTCCGATCCCGATCTCGAGATAGGATACGATGATCATGGGGACCTGGAGGCGCGGGCTGATGGCGCCGTATCGGCAGATTACCGCCCCGCCGGCAGCGGAGGTTAATGCAGAGATGAGTGGGAGCAGAGTTGCGGGCGGAACAGCTTTAATTCCTGGCGGTTGCACCTGGACGTAGACATAGGGTATCCCCAAGACCGCGATGACGGCGAGAGCGGTATTGATCCACCACAGGATAAACGCAACCAGACCCCATGCCGGGCCCCATTCTCTAACCACAGTCAACGAAATCATCTGTATGATTGACGTAAAGGCGATGGATATGCTCGCCAGGCACGACGTTTCCAGGATGCTATGGCGTAGCTGGTGGGCGACATGCCGTGGATACAGCAGGATCCGTAGAAGATACAAGCCCAGACCCAACCCAAGCAACACGATTGTATACACCCATATAACTTTGGATATCACGCCCAGCCCGCGAAATTGATACGGGAGTTGATGCAGAATCACGGCGAGGATGCCCATGCCCTGCGGGACGAGGAACCATTGGGAGGAGAAGGAGTAGAGGGCGTAGGCCAGGCCGGAGGTTGGGCGGCGTGGATAGCTGCGCTGGGGAGGTTCGAGGGAATCGGGAGGTTTCCGATTCGTGTCATTGTCTGCTCTTGTGGGCGTTGATGCGTTTTGGCGATGGCGTGAATGCTGGTCTGGCATCATTCTCGAAGTGCTGGACAGAGGCCGATTGCGCGGGAATCGGCCTGCGTCGCACTTCAGTGAGCATATCGGCCTTCCCCTTATGAACCCGGTTGAAGATTGGCCATGGGAAGCCCTGTTACCAGTAACCTGATGAATTCCGTGATACAGAGAAGATCAATAGAATGCTCTCGCGCATTGACGTCAAGCCGTTGGGCCGGCTAACTAGTTAACCAAGCGGTCCGTATCCTTGTTTGCGGAGATCAACCCTATCAATCACGAGCTGCGCCCGAGCTCTAATTAAGCAAGTCAAGCAATCCGCTATCTCATATGAATTGCTTGGTATTCGAGATTTTCAGGAGGCACGGACATGGATACATATCTAGTGGCTACATCCTCACCATGCTTCTACGTCACTCCAATAGTAACTGGAGGGGAAATTCAACAAATGAACAAATGCCCTTAATTTGTACTTCGTAGGGTCATGGAAATTCCTGATTCATCACGTCATTATGGAGTAACTAGTCAATGTGCTGGCTTTCGAGTTAGAGCACGCATCGATTCTAAATCTGATAAATCTATCGAGGTTCCGCCTGTTCATGCGCCGCAGCAAATTCCTAAGTGGTAAAACATGGTTAGATAGACCGAATAGCAATGCGAGATGAGTATGATGCAAATGTGTGGGAAGGAAAGGCTTTGTCGACTTACGGGGAAATCATCCATGATTGCGGCAGCTACCTTTTCCACGTCGTCTGCCAAATGCTGCACGCCGGCATCCCATATTCTGAGGCTCTTTCCCTCCGTATCAGTAGGCCCAACTCCATCGATCCCTGAATTGAAGTAGATTACGCCCGCAATTTGATCAATTTTGCCCTCAAGTCGACCTTGTTCCACCATCCGGGCAGCGTAGGCCTCGGCTCTCTCGCCAGCAGTCAAATCTCCGCTGGCTTCAAGGCCGAGGATAGATGCTAAATTTACAACATTAATATTTTCATATAATCGACTGGCCGCGAGGAGATTGTGTTCGATAACGGCTTTGTCGAGGACCGTTGAGCCATCTGCCGTCTGTGCGAGCTGGTGAGGAGCTAGCTTTGTCCCAAATGCTTTGACTTCCTCCGGTGAGAGGAGATGGTCCCTGAATATCTTTTCCAAAATGCTGTATTCCTGGAGCGAGGACGACCGATCATCCTTGTAGAGCCGTGAGAGCATTCGTGATCTTTGTGGTCCCGCAGGCGCCAGCACTGCGCAGCATATAGCCGCGGATAACGCCTGTAGCCGGTCTCCTTCTTCCACACCAGTAGCCAGACTAACATTGAGATATTCCTGACTGGCATCGAGAAACCGCCGTCGGGCGTCAAATATTCGCGCTTGTGACAACTGAAAATGTAGCTTCAATTCTGGATCTTGAATTTTGGATGGTAAGTTTTTTATTTTCTTCAAAAACCCTTCTGCACTTGTCGGATCATCTTCTTCGAGATATAACCTGACGATACGTATCCACATGCGGACTTTTGCTCCATCGGAAATCAAACGTTGAGAACTGTCCAGGTGGATGCCTTGCAGTACCTTTGCTGCAGCAAGATATTCCTCCTGCGCCTCGTATGCATCCGCAAGGATCTCCCGTATCAATGAATCTTGTTCCTCGACCGATGTTGACCGGGACTGGAGTGCTTGAATGGCATGTTGCCCAACTTCGATCTTGGCAGGCGCGGGGAGTTCGCGAAGGGCGTTTATGAAAGCATCGAGCAGCGGACGAGAAGCAATTATGCTCACATTTTCACTCAGTATGGACTCTAGGAACGCAATGAGGTCTTGCGAAAGGGTGGGAGAGGAGGACGAGGACACTATTTTGGGGAGCAGCTCATTGTAGAGCTGTGCTTTGGTTTGTTGGTTTGACGTTGCGTCAATCGCTGCCAATGCGGACGCGACTCCAGCTGAAGCCATGATCGCGGTTAGCCAGGGGACGCGCTGGGATCATTCACAGCTTCATACGGCCCTTCACATGAGACACCTCGCAACCCCGGCTGAATAGAAACAACAATGGCTCTCAAGGCATGAAGCTTCGTGAGCTCAGTTCCAGATGGCTTAGTCAACGCCCGCACCGGTCACGTGCCGCCATGACTTCATTCGGGTTTGCCGCAGATAAGCTTGAGGAGCTGTACGAAACACCTGCAGCTGTTGGATTCGTTGCTTCCGGACGAGCTGCCTGGCTGTTATATCTTATACTCTGTTCTCAGCGCCATCAACAATGACGAGCATCCCGGCCGTCAAAACGGAGCCAAGTTCCGCACCAGCAATCAAGGCGGAACCTGACAATGATGTTACGATGCTATCCGACGAAGACATCTACGAGGATACGGGTGACTTAGACTTTACACACGCTGCGCAAGACGTATGGCTAACACGGATCCCAAAAATGTTATGGGAAAAGTGGTCCAAGCTCGACGATGATGAGGAGATCCAGATCGGGACCGTAAGGGTCGAGGGGCCAGCGACGGATATCAAACGAGTACGAATACTGATTCTTCTTATAAGGCGGTACTGAAACTAATGCCATGGATACAGATCAGCCTCCGATTACACGATGTTCCTCAGAATGAAGGCGTACCGAAAGACTATAACCTGAAACGCCAGAATATAAATGCAGATAAAACAGCCTATACTGTGCAAAATACGTTTATATTTACAGAAAAAGACCTTCCAGGCTATAAAGATAGGACGCATCTGTTATTCAACGAGAACCAGCCGCATGGCCGATCATATGTGTATGAACAGATGAAGCGCGATTCAAGGAAGAAGGCCAACAAAAAGAAATGGGAGCCGTATACGAGAAAGACCATTCCAAGTACGTTCCTTCTGAGCCGTATGAACAGATTTTCAGGAACACTGGATTCTGACAACAATATTAGAACAAACCGCAATCGCTGCAAAAGTACACGACGAGTTCAACTGCCTCCCAGTTGAAAACGAAGAATATCAGAGAATTGCTGAAAAGCGAGCCTTGGAAGCCCTTAAGCCAAAGAAGGAGACCAAATTTATTGAACGGGTTACTGGCAAGATGTTGCAGCCGAAAACTGCCCAAGACGCCGATAAATCCAATTTTATCGTAGGTTTTTCATCGTCCAACCCCAGTCTATGCGGCGCATCGCTGATATTAAATAGCAAGTTACCAAACCTCCAAAAGTCCGCGCACAGGACAACAAAACTACTCGTATGCCACAAAACGAACTCCTGGATCTCGTATACGCCTGCTTCCGACGATACAGGTATTGGCCTTTTAAATCTCTCAAAGCTGAGCTCAAACAGCCAGAAGCCTATCTTAAACAAACACTGGAGATGGTTGCACATCTTGTTAAGAGCGGTGATTTCGCAATGACTTGGGAATTGAAACCAGAAGCCCGAGAAGCGAACTACGCAAATGCTTTGGCTTATAAAGATGCGACACAAGAGTTGGCTCCGAGCGCTTTAGATGAAGGTTCTGAAGGAGAACCGACCGCTTCGGGTCTTGGCACAGATAACAATGAGGATGAGAATATCAAGTTTGAGAATGTAGGTTGACCGGCGCTGGGCTACATAGATACTGGTATGGCGTTGGAGCTAGGAGGATCTTTCTGACGAAGTGTTTTCAAGACATTTATTGGCGTTGCCTGGTAGCAAACGATACTTTGTTAATCCTAACAATCTACTCTGTACTTTTATATCATTCCGTCTTCTGCTTCAAGGCTCTTTTGAAATGCCGGATATTTATTTATCCGAAGGCCCAAAACCGCCAAGCTATTCATTACATAATCTATACATGAGTCTTGGCATCGCTTTCCAGCAATCGTTCACCAGCACAATGTCAATTATTGAACCGATTCAGTGTTGACTTATACTACGCGGATCCCTCGTGCCATCTTATATTCAGTATGAGCGAAGACCAGGATCTTCTTGCTAGGATTGGCCGCCTTGCTGGTACATTATGTTTTCACTTATACAAGTCTTGAGCACAGCTAATAGCAGTTCCCCTAGGTCAAATCAACAAGCACAAGAACCAACACGCGCCTCCTTCAAGCGGTGGATATTCTGGAACTTCGTCGTTTAGTACGCATAACAATTCTCACAGGCCACACCCTGGTTGGGCACCCTACCGCAGGCGCGGATGGCCTCCCTCTCGACGCGGGGCATCCCATCGACACCGAACTCTCGTACTTAACGGTTCGACTGCCACTCCCGATCCAGCAAGCGCCAACCCGTCTGCCGACGTATCCAGCGATGAAAAGAATGAAGCAAACCGATTGCAACAAACGGGGTGGGTAGCGAAACGCGATCGCCACATGCAGCTTATCAACACTGCGATATACGATCAGGAAGCTCAAGCGAGGGCAAAGGCTATCGAAGAAACTCGCAAGCTTAAATTACAGAAAAAGGCGGAGCGAGAGAGGGAAAAGGTTCTACGATTTGCACAGCATATTGGGGTCCCAGCCTCGGCTCCGGATCCTGGTATTATAGGTGCACGCCCGGATTCATACAAGGTCGTTATTCAAGACATTCCGTTTCAGGTTGTCAAAGGAGGAAGCAAGTTGGTCAGATTATCAAGTGAGGCTGCCTTTTTAGATTCAAAGGGGTGCAAGAGCTGGCTTACCATTGATAGATGATCCTACAACTGCGAATGCGACTCCGAAGAGAGTGAGCGTAGGTGGCGTGGCGTTTGTTAGAAGCAAGAATGGAAACCTCCATCGATTAGGGGCTGTGGTTTCGAAGAAGTGCGTGTTGTGTTTTGATGGGAAGGATATCAAACTGACTGACGGAAGCAGGAAAACTGGGGTGGTTAAGAAGAAGGATGAATTGTGCAAAAGATTTACTGCGACGGGTACCCCATTCTCCCCCTCCCAGCGGGAAACTTTGTCCTATGGAAGCTATAAATGGAGCTTCACTGGATACAATCTCGATCTGGATCAGGCGAATGGCCGGATAGGCGAATACTAACCACAATTTCCCTTTTAGGAACCTGCTACAAGGGCCCGAAATGCCCATACATTCACGATCCAAACAAAGTTGCCATATGCAAGGAATTTCTCCAGACAGGTAAATGTAATGCAGGCCCAGCATGCGATCTCTCACATGAGCCGTCACCGGAAAGATCGCCTACCTGTGTCCACTTCCTTCGCGGCCGCTGTTCCAACCCCGAATGCCGATATGCACACGTTCGAGTTACTCCCGGCGCGCCGGTTTGTCGCAATTTTGCCATCCTAGGATTCTGCGACAAAGGTGCTGAGTGCTGTGATCGCCATGTGGTCGAGTGCCCCGACTACGCGAACACGGGCAAATGCAACAAGCAAAAATGCCCGTTGCCGCACATTGATCGAGCAGGTCAGATCCGAAAACTCGCGGCTAACAAGGCAGGTAACAACAATGCAGAGGAAGAAAATGATGATGCAGAAGACATCTCCAGCGAAGAAGAAAATTACGATGAGATCGATTCCGATGATGTGGATTCGGATGAGCTGGATGATGAACCTGAATTCATAAACGCAGGTGCCCAGGCTGGGGAAGAAGTTATGAATCAAGATGACTTTATCGGATTCTAAGATATCTCCCCATTCTAACATAGTTAAGAAAACCTCCCCTTCTTCCTTTAGGTCACCTTTTTTCTTTTTTTTTTTGGTGAGACCAACTTGGTTTCAGTATCGACATCGTCAAAGAATAACCGCGTACAAGCACCAGGGATATTCAGCATACAGATTCTCTAAACGAAACAGGAAACTCGGCGCACAATCGACGTCAGGGAAGTACCTGTGTCCCCATTTTCCCTCATGGACTTACCATCTTTCGGATGGTGAAGTTTTCTGTTCTCTCAAGATAGTCGGGCTTTTCCCTGTTTGGATTTACATGTTACCTCCTATTCTTTCTTGTGATTTTCACTCAAGAGTTATCATTACTATTTTGTACCGTGGGGTCATGAAGCGGACTGGCTCACTGGAAAGAAAAAGGCGATTGCGGCATTTTCCCCTTTTCTTTTTAGACCTTTGTCTTTGTGGAATCATTTGGTCAAAGCGGATTTGCAGTATTGCTACACAGGAAAAAAAAAAAGAAGATAGGAAAGAGAAAATCAAAGAATTCGTAGTAAAATTTGCACAGAAATTTACAGTGAGACTGTTCAAGATCGTCTGATCGGACAAAGTAGGATAGTGAAGCAAAGGCAGGAGCATAAGCTAGGTGTCATCCATCCCTTGCCACCACAATCGGGGGGTATCAATCCAATATCCTTTTCCCGGCAAGGCACGAGAGCACACGACATTTGTGAAACAATCATGATACTCCGAATAAAGAACGTTGGGTTTCTCCCGCCGTTCTCCCGGGATTCCCGAGTCCCACTTTCTACACAGGTCAAATCTCCACATAGCAGGGGGCGTGAGTCTTTTCTTTCGGCATCAAAATACCATGAAAAATAATGTAGCAGATATAGTATGGCATGAATGCATACATACGATTTACCAAGTCAAACGGCCACTTGGACCATTGTCGCTGGCCCGGTTGATGCTGGTGTGTCTGATTCGAACCTGAGACGGATGGTTATGGTGGTTTACGTATCTTGTTAGAAGACGTTGTTGTCTCGCCAAGTATGGAGAAAGGATCAAAATGTGTACGGAGGGAGTAAATCGGGTTGTCATGATGGTGGTGGGCCGAACATGGAGCGAGTTACTGAAGAATAATCGCCGTTCACATGCCTCAAAGTTGCTGAATATAGAAAACTGGCGATCGCTTTTTGAGATCAATAAAATGAATGATCCAGTGATAGATGGGTTCATGTATGTACGTTTAATTGGCAGCGGTCGAGAAGATAATCGCCATTATGTTTCAAAAGTACTCGAATATCTGCTCTAACTTGTGGCCATAAAGAGGCCTAAGAGCGGGTAGGAAACGTGGCGGGTCGACGACGGTCGCGTTGGAGGAGAATTGAAATTGAGTGGGAATTCCACCCGCATCTTGACATATAAATTTTGATATCGACTTGCTAGAGTTTCGATTCAACGCCGGATAATCCACCCGGTTTACGGGTGTTCTTGAAGTTAGTGATTGCGCAGTGAACGCATCTTTGCTGGAATAGCGATTTAGTGGCAAGAGTCGGGTATCAAAGCTTTTGACGCAACAAACGCGGACTGGTTGCAGGAGATACGTGTGGGTTGTGAACAAAGAAATAAGGTAAGGAGAGTTGCATGCATCCGCATGCATTGCGCCGTCTCAAGTGGATGGAGAAGAGCATGCAAAGATACTGAAGAAGGTATCCATTTACTGCAGACAACGGATAAGAAGTGAGGGCGAGATTTTGATATGCTCCATGACGTTGATTACGCTTGTGTCGCAAGTCAATCCCAATACAATGGATGAGAGCATGTGAAGGTCACAGGATTCTGCACCATAATCAAGGGAAATGCCGGGTCGAGGATCGTATGCAGAGCGAAATTCGCTGTTCTGATATAACCCCGGTGCAGGGCGGACATGAGTGTTATTCTCCGGGCGCGACAAGCGCAGTGTAAGCCATCGCTAACCGGCCAAGGGTGACTTGGGACCGCGTACACACCTCTGCGCTCTCCATGAACCAAGAGTGCCCAATGTCAAGGGTGTCAGAAAAGAAAACCTGCAAGGCAATGAACGGTAACTAATGTTTCAGAGCCAAAAAGTGAAAATAGAAGGGAATGCCACCGGATACAGATTTGCTCAAGGAGAGAAGGCAGGCAAAAGTAACCCTGCCCCTGCTCCTCAACTTTGAAGGGACCCTGTTCGTATAATCACAAAGCACCAGAATGGGCATATTTTCCAGGCGAATCGATGTGTCGATAACCAGCCCTAAAGTTATGCCCATGTGACATAAAAGAAAGGCACAGGACGTCGTAATGGCCGTGATGCGCCGCAGTAAAGAGCAGCAAATGACAACTGCCCAAAGAGAGAGTTACAACCTGAGGCTGACCATCAATCCCCAGGCCATAGGTTGCTTTGTAACATCAAGAAAGGGAAACGAAGAGAGAAAAGAAAATGGCCCCCAAGTCCCTGGCAACAAGAGAGCATCATCAGGGAGAGACCGGCCATTGGGTGAGGAACGTGGGACGAGAGATCAGAGCTGTTTCGTCCGGTGGGCGGCGGGAGCTGATTCGATGCATTGCACGGCAAGATGCCTAAGGTGCCTGAAAGGGCCCTCAGCTCCCCAGGATCCCATTCGAGAGGGAGGTTGAGGGATGTGAGGATAACCGAAGAAAGCGGGGAGCGAGCACGACGAGTGAGGTCAAGTCGTTCGCTGCACTGCAGAGCCACTGGAAACAGCGCTAGGCGGCACTGGGACTGGCGGGCTTGGCAGGATTAGGTAATCGTTGCCGTCGGTACTGTAATTTATGGCTTTTGTTACAGGACGGGTGGCCGGCGGAAGAACGACAGGCATCGGCTTCACGATCTCGCTGTCTCATGAGTGCATCTATTATTATGATCAAATATGCTAGCTATTCACTTGTTCTCCGTCAACCATTGTTGTGCAGCCAGATAGGTTAGCTTTTCCCGGTTCAGTCCACGCGGGCCGCACCCTTAAAATCTTTCGTAATCGGCCAAAACGGGAGCCAGAAGAGGGCCTCATGATGTGCATACATGATCGGATCAAGCTCATGCGTCCGGTGCCCAAGGACCACCCCCTCATATCCACTCCTCGACTCCAGTTTTGACAGGAGATACCTCGGGGTTTGCGGTTTGCGGGTTTGTGCGTGGCTTGATCGAAAGTATGTCTTGTCCTCTTTGAGGGTAGTATTTCTTCTGGTTTGGGAAAATGGACTTGGTGAGATGTATAACTAGCGACTACTCTTGGACTGATAAGTAATTGCACAATACATATAGTGTGTATGATTTTTGGCAATTTCAACGTAGCCCGGTAGAAACTGTAGGCTGTTCACGGGCCATGGGACGCGGTCACACTTTGACCAGTTCAGACGGGAAGAGCGTGTGTGCTCTTTGCTCTCTCCGAAGTACGGAAGAACCGTCGAGGTTAGTTCTCACTCTTGATCACTGCAAAATGCTCCGGTCCGGCCGATGTCGTTCTTGTGACCTCGAGGTGGTGGACGCTAAGCTACACTGCCGCCTGGTCAACAATATCCATCACACCTCGGCGAAGAACTGCAAAAAATTCCACAAAACGCCATGAGGGGGACAGGGACTCTTGCACCTCCAGTTGCTACTTTGGATTATGAGTCATACTTGACCGACAGGCCGAAGGGCCCTCTTTTCGGCCCTTTCGTCCCAGGCCCTGCCCGTGGAGCTGACTGGCTCTCCCTTGCCTAAGAATCCGCAGGTTTCTATATATAAAAACGCCATACCCCACAAACAGTGAAGCAGCACGCTGGGCTTGGGCAGCGATATTTAGCCCAGATAGGCAAAGCTGATCTTCAGTCATGAGATGGGACCAACCTACTACATGGGCGTCTGCTCCCGTTTATGTACCTCAGATTTTAAAGCCATCCTATGGGAATGGAGCAGAGCTCAAGCGACGATAGGCATTCACTCGGTGTCAAAAAGAGTTCGGTTCAGTCTACCACTCGTATCCCTCCCTCACTCACGGGAGATAACAAGAAATATGTACATACGAAGATACAGAATACATGTACATATGTAAGGGACAGAACGCGCACGGAGACAATTTCCTCTATTTCCGACATGGGAGTCCGAGATGTGAGGCGTTCAGGCAGGCCCAGTTCGATGCTCTCTGCCTGGCGTACATGGATTCTGACATCTGAGTGGCTAGGCGGGGTGCATCTTATCACTTTTTTTACTTGAACCGTCCCCATTTCGCGGGCCCCGACTGAGTACCAGCGGTGAGGACAGGGAAATCCATTGGCTAACTCTAAAATTTCTATCAAACCCTTTCGATTGTAGATATACAAGGCTGGAAATGGCGTTTTACCTTGGCCTTCTCGTTTGAGCTGAATGTTGCCCGTTGACTGTTGCTAGAGAGTGGTTAATGTGGAGGGTCTGAACGAAGTAGCTTCTAGGATGACGACGGCAGCGCCGCAAAAAGAGACCACTATTCTCATAGGGGAAAGGGAGTCGGCTATCCAAGGGGCACGACCAAAACTGTACAAGGTGTGATCGTAGAATAGTTGCGCGAGAGATACGAAACATCTCAACAAAGGAATTTCCAGCGCAGGCAGCAATGAAGCCAGTCTGGAGTGAGTACCGTGACCGAGCACTGAGGCAAAGGACTCGTCGATGATTGCAAGAAGCCTAGAAAGAGGCGCAGTTTGTTGTCCACTTTGATCGACAGGCGCACGAGCTGAGAGGCAATTTGATTCTAATCCTGAGAGAAGAGGAGGGTCTCAGGCTAGACATTGAACGGGCAAAGGAGACGGAGAGGGCGAGGCTCAGTAAAGCATGAACTGCATCCCCGTAGACATTGGATATCAAAGGACAAGCAGAAGTCGACGACGCTAGGATAGCCGTCAAAGAAGGTTTTTCGAGACTGGCTTCCGGAACTCGAACCATGGCTCGCAGGCAGCTAACTAGCCCTGGAAACCGCGGGAACGGGGGAAAAGAAAAAAAGTCAAGTTGGACAACAGACAGAAGCAGATTCAACATCAACGTGAGACGAGACAAGCTGTTGGAGCGGGTTCCCATTCGATGGTCACCAGAGAGTTCTTGTGCGAGAGACGGTTAATTCGGGTGAAGACAGAGAAGCCAGTCAACAAGCTTCCCTGAGCAAGTGAAACAACTGGGGGTCGAGTGACATGCTGTCCGTCAGCGCACGAGGGCCTGTCATTCTCCGGGGAGCAGCTCAAGCCCGTTCACACTGCGTAAGGGAGAACACTTTGCAGTGACTGGGAAAATATGTGATGCTTGGGCTTGAGCATCGATCACAGAAGGCAAAAAAAAAAATAAAATGAACAAAAAAAAATAAAATCAAAAAGATCAATTGCTCAGATCCGAGGATTCTGACAAGGGGCAAAGAAGGTGCAAGATGCATGAATGCCCAACGGCCAACAAGAGGCATCCAATTGCGAGCAGGCCTGGAGCTCAAGACGAACGACAAATCGTCGCCCTGTTTTCCCCCAAAGCCCACCGGTCCTGGAACGCTTGTCTAGCGTCTTGAGTTGCGCATCAACCCCAGTCGATCTGGAACAGTCGCGCCTTTTTGCCTCTGAGCGATGCGATCACACTGGCAACATGCAAAAATAGGGTACCCGTCATTCGGGCCGCACGCTCGAGGGTTGGCTGGTGCTGGCCCTCTGGTTTTTGTGGTGTGACATCTCGCGGACGGGCATCGGTATCTCGACTGGACTCTGGGCTCGTCCTGCTCCCCGGTCAGCGGTTTCGCCTGGCTTAGTGGACGGGGAGAAGAGGTCTTTTGCGTTTCCCAGGTACACTCGCCGTGATCCACCGATACGGCCCTAGACTTCTGGCAGGAATAATGGGAGAGACCCATGGGGCAATTGGCCGTGCTCGTGGGAAGCGTCAGCGATGGCCTGCGATGCCTGCGATCTCGTATAATTATCTCCCGTCTCCCCAGCGAGAGAGCATCTCACATCTGCTATCTTCATGCTTCAAACCCCGCATTGTTCGTGATCCAAGCCCCTCCCTCACTCCCAGTAAAAGCAAATCTTCCCCCCAGGTGTCACACACCCAGTTGCTCGCTGCCTGTTGACGGGCAAACTTACGCGATCAAGCTCCTCCTCACCGCTTCTTCGCCCGTCTTGCTGCTCTTTAAACCCGCGCGTCTTCCTCTCTTCTTCCCCCCGTCCAATTCGCTTCCTCCTCTCCCGCCCTTTGGAGCAAATCCATCTGCGAAATCACGCCTTCACGACCCCTTGACGACCTTTGTACTATTTTGCTGTTGTTGCACTTCTTTTGCCAGCCCGTTTTTTTGGCTTCGTTTTTTCGGAGGTTAAAATTTATCAAAAATACCTCCCTTTATTCTTGTCGTTATTATTATTTTTTCTTTTTTTTTGTCCTTTTGCTTCTCTTCACATCTTCAGCATGGCGAAATTCTCACATCCGTCGTCGTTTGACTTCTTCCAACATTCCCCCGCTCTCGACTCCAAGCCCATCTTCTCGCCTGACGATGAGATGAGCGTATTGGACGACAAGATCCTGGACTCTAGCACCCAAGACATCACATCGCTCAACGGCCAACGGCGATCGTCCTTTGACCACACGCCCGACGACTTTTCGCGGAGAGACTCCGTATGGTCGGACATGGCCCAACATCACAATGGAGCTCCCTCGCGGCAGCCATCGCAGATGTCGACGCCTCTCTTCGAAGCAGTGTCAAACCCGTTTGTCCACACCACCTCCTATCCCCAACAGCAATGGACGCTCGCCGCAGACTCCACCTCGTGTACCGCAACCCCCATCTACGAGCAGTTCTCCCACGATTTCGATGCCGCAGCCCAAAACCCATTCGTCGGCGGTGCGGCCGGTGCAGTACAGCCGTTAGCGTACCCATCCATGCCGTATCGTCCAGGCTCAACCTTTGCTCCCCCTCCCTCCCACGCCATTCCGATGTCACCGCAATCGAGTCAAGGTTGGGCGTCCGCGTCTGCTGAACCCACTGAGATGCAATCCAAGCCTGCACGGAAGAACTCTACCGCTGCCACCGGCTACCGAAATGGCTCCAACCTTCACATTCGCCGAGATGGGATCCGAAAGAAGAATGCCCGCTTTGATATCCCCGCGGAACGTACTCTGAGTAACATCGACTTGCTCATCAACCGCTCCACTGATGAGGAGGAGATCAAGGAGCTCAAGCAACAAAAGCGTTTGCTGAGAAACCGACAGGCTGCGTATGCATCACCCCCTCACCCCAAATCCCTCCCTCAACCCCGCCTTACTCCCCGTCGCCCACTACTACTTCCCTTTAACGGCCCTGGGTCGAGAGGATTGCTTTAACTGACTCTCAACTAGACTGGATTCGCGCCAACGCAAGAAGGTGCATACTGAGCAGCTTGAAGAAGACAAGCGGCGCTCCACTAGCCTGATCAACGAGCTTCAGGAAGCCATCCGTGAGATGAAACTCCGGGAGGCAGAGTTCGTGCAAGAAAAGGCCAAACTGCTTGAAAGCCAGCAGCAGCTCCATCAATATATCGAGCAACTGCACTCTGAAAAGGAGGAGCTAATTCGATCCCATACCTTGGAGACCGGTGAGCTTCGAAAGAAGAACACCATCCTGCGGGAGCACATGGAGAAACTCGAGCACTCAACGACACCTGGCTCTCTCTTCCGCAGTGATTTCTCTGATTACGAGAGTCTCGGGGTCGGCGGCAACTCTTGGGATGACTTCTCTATGGCCAATGAATTCTCTCTGGATAGCGAGCCACGGGTAACGGTTCGAAGCCCAACGCCCACTCCCGAGAAATCGCTCATCATCAGCAAAACCGACAAGGTTGTCGAGAAGCTGTCCTCGCAAACGGACTTCCCCTTCAGCTGGAATGCATTCTACATGTGTCTCCTCTTCGGTGCCTTTGTGGCTTCGAACGGTTCTTCAATGCCCGCGACGTCCATCCCTCCCCTTTCGGAAGAGTATCGCGCTGAGTCTGCCAACGTTCTAAAGGCTGTCCTCGCTTCTGCCAATCCCACACAAGCAACCCATTCCATCAGCCTGGCGAATATTCCTTCTTCCACCAGTTCATTCCCCGCAACAATCTCGCGTGCAGAACTGGCACAGCTCTCATCTGGTCAGGACACCACGATGACCAACTTGGATGACTTGCATCGAAACCTTGTCGCTCCAACGAAGGAGCAAGAGGACCAGCAAGCGTTTACACTTACGGCAGAGCAATATAATGCGCTGACCACCCTGGACGACGAGGATGGCGATATTACGCCGCAGCCTTCCAACTTGCAGCAAGCATATGCTGCCATGCGAAGCAATGCTGCTGGCACCAAAGGCACGTCTGATGTCTATTCTCGCTCCCTTCTCTGGGATCGTGTGCCCGACAAGGTCGTTCGCGATTTCAGACGAATGGTCAAAGACTGTGGCATCAACGTCGGTAAACACGAAGAGCCTGGTGGTGCACTCACATCATGACCCCACGTCTCCCCAATCCAAATCTTTTATGAATTCACTTGAATAACGACAAAGTTTGCGATACCTACTCAACAACTTCCTATCGGCTCGACGCCTGAAACGAATTTCCTTTGTGGTCCCCTCTCGCATTCCTTTCTGTGTTAGCATCACGTTTTGGCTCGGAGCATTTTCTCATATGGCGGGCCGGGGCGGAGTACCATGATACATTCCCTGACTCTAGAAGAGCGCCGCGAGGCGCACACTTAGCTCGCTGCTAATACGATAGCAAAGACTGGCTGTGACAGCCCATTCCCAAATCCGTTCGCACGGACACAAAAGATACAAAAAGAAACGCCCTGTCTTATCCAACTACATACGTTGCATCCTATTTCCTTCTTATCTTTTATTTCTATTGGACTTTGTGTAGGTATACTGCAAACACCTTCCACGGAACGTCACCGCACCCAGTTTCATTTGTTATGTCTCTCTATCATTGTTTGGAAGTTTTCTCTGATGTTCTATATGATGGCACTCGACTCTGGATGAACTTAGCGTGTTGTTGGGAGGCTTACTTTACTTATCTGTCTTATCATTTGGCCTTTGATTTTCGCCCTGTTTAGCCTGTGGGGAAAGCGAGTCTTGTTTATTTTCTGACTGCTTCTTTCTGATTTTCCTGGGTTTATGACCTGACATGACACGGATGAAACTAATGATTTTACGATGTGACTATTCAATCGTGCCCTTGCACTTTCATTTTCTGGAAAAAAAGCCAAACGGCGTTGTCATGTTTTGAATATGCGAATGGACTTTGAGTTGTATCTATTTGAACTGTTGGCTGAATGTACCATGGCTTGTTTCCCTGTGGACGAGTTACTCGTTTTGGTTACACCTTGGGGGAGGAATCGTGTGATATTTACTATTCTTTTTTCCATCTTCTAATCATTGGTTTTAGGAAGGGATTGCATAGCGAACTGGGGATGGTCTTTACTATTTTCCTTGGATGTCTTCCCTCTCGCCAATTAATCGAAGATTAAGCGGCCGCATTCCGCCTTCACAGGACTATTCTCCTTTTTCAAGTTATGGGCACTTAGTGGAAGCCGAATGGCGGTAAAAACCTCCAATTTCAAAATATCACATTTCTTAGGGCTGCGATTCCAAAAAGACAACATCTCTGCTCCTCGCGTGATCCATGGGCGGAAACTTCTAGCGGGAAATGATAACGCGTCCCGCCATCCCTTGAAAAGCGGACGCGTTGGGGCGGAACTCCTTGGCGCGGGTGATCCGCCAAAGTCAAATATGTAGTTTTTGTCTCAACATAACGAATCAAGAAATCATCAGCTGGACGAACGCATCCGACTGACGATTTATTTGGTACGAATTTACGGATTACATCAAGGCGAACTATCTAATTGCCTTGGTCGGAAACAATGACAGTCTCGAGACTTAGAGCCCTGAGAGAGTATCCGGACATACGTGACATCTCAGCCTGACGGCTTCCTGTCGACGCAACTCCAGTTCTTGAAGCCCACCTCTACCAATGTCTAAGCCCTCCACAATATCTCATTTCTCCCTGCCTCTTCACCTATGGCAGCAACCATTAAGCTATCGCACTATAAAATACGACCCACCCCGACGCGCAAAACACCTCGCCCCAGAAGACACCGACGAAACAGCATCCGACAGCAATAGCGACAACGACGACGACGAGACCGCGCCAACCTCCAACCGCGCCTCCCGAGCCACCAGCACCGCCGCAAAATCCGAACGCGCTTCCTCCACCCGCTCCTCCTCCGTCCTTCTCACCCCCTCGGAAGCCCACCAGTACCGCATCGCCGGCCAGCCCGCCAACACTGAACTCCCCGGCGGAAACTTCCCACACTCACGCCAGCCTTCGCCACACGCCGATCCCAAGCGAGTCACCAAGAAACGCATCGAGAACGATCTCGCGCAGCTCAATCCGCCCGTGTTCGTGCACGGCTCGGCGCGGAATAGTCTGCGCCTGAGGCATCTGGGCGTGATCACGGCGATTCTGCATCGATGTCTGCTTGAGGGGGATTATGTGCGGGCGGGAAGGGCGTGGGGGTTGATCTTGAGGGATGAGTGGGGGGGCAAGCCGATTGATGTGAGGACGGAGGGGAGGTGGGGGATTGGAGCGGAGATTTTGCTGTGGAGGGATAGGCAACAGATGAAGGGGCCTTCTCCTTCTACTTCTTCTTCTGGGGGTGTGAGTTATAAGAGGGAGTGGTTTTCGAGGAGGGGGTTTGAGCGGGCGAAGCAGTATTATGAGATGTTGATTCTGCACTATCCGTATCGGAAACATGCGCCAAAGGCGTTGGGGCCGTTGGATTTTTACCCGGCGATGTTTGGGCTTTGGATATCCATTGTTCAAGAGGAGAGTCGGGCTGCGAGGGAGGCTTCCCTCGATGAAGAGGAAAGAGAGGATAGGTATGATTACGGTTACGATCCGGACGAGAGAATGTCGATTTCCAGCGACGACGAAAGCAAGCGCCGAGCTAAGCTTGTCGCCGAAGCTCGCGCCAAAGAACTCGAAGAAGCGCAACGGATTGCGTCTCAAATGGACGATCTGCTCGTCTCGTTTCCGTTTTCGGATAGCTATGTCTTGCTGAAACTACGAGGGATGGTGTCGCTCTGGATCGGGGATTTGTGCGTTTTGTCAGTCTCGCCTGATGAAGCGCAGGAGCAGGGGCTACTGGGTCGCGATGAAGATGGAGATATAACCATGATGTCCTACGATGACCATGTTGATTCCATATTGGCGATGATGGAAGAGGGCTTGGGGAATGAGCGGAAGATGGCGGAGGTGGATAAGGCAAAGGAGTTTTTCCAGAAAGCAAAGGCTAGGAAGGCTGGCCCGCTGAGTGCGACGGATGAAGCGTATATGGATAATATACTAGAATTTAATTAATAGCAGCATAGTTATATTTTGATATATCAGAGGCTCTTCTTGCTTGCTAGCTGGGATGTCATGTGACTGCGTGTTTGCGTCTTCTGTTTGCAAACAGCCGACGTGAACCACCAGCATCTCCATCACAACTCTTGCATCTGATTTTACAATTGTTTGTTTGATTTGGGGTGCCTGCATTGTGAGCATTTCGTGTCATGGGTGCATAGCTAAAAGCCTTCCTTTTTGCCGCAATTCAATTCCAGCACGCCTTTGTCCCCTGTTTGTTTGTTTTTCCGTGTTTGTTGATAGCCCTAGGGCTCTCTTATGGGCCGCCATGAAGCTGAGCGATTACGTCCATGGAAGCATACCCCAAAACAACGACCGGCCGGTCTCCCAAGGCACCAGCAAAGGTGGCATCTCGTCCTCGAGATTGCGCGCTGCTGAGCTGGCTAGGATCCATGTTCCTGCCACCAGGCTAAATGGGTTCAGCGCCTCTTCAGCACCCAACGTGCATGCAAAGCAGCAGTCCCACAGCTCGCAGGTGGCGGGGGACCATCGCTTTAGAGTGGCGAGCCCCGTCCGCTCAGAGCATCGCGATATGTTCGATACGGACGTTGAAGGGTTTGATGATAGTACCACTGTCATAAGCTCACTCAGAGACGACAGTGTCATTGCGGTGCCACCGGTGCAACAAGAGCGTTTGGCGTCTCCCAGGAGGGGAAGAGATAATGGGAACATGCATCAACATGACGATGTATCAATGAACGCGTTGCGCGGGGCGTTTGATCAGCGCAATTACACTTCTATTGCCGAGAGGATGAGAGAGCTTGATTCTGAGCCCGACGAGCAAGTTCAGGACGCTTCGCACGAGCAGGAGCAGGAGCAATATCACAATGACTTTGAGGATTTTGACGGTGACCGAGATATTGAGCAAGGTATGGGATTCGAGGGAGAACCTACGATTAAGCTAGGCTGGGATAGTAACCAGGCCACCCACCACGGTGCAATGAGCTGGCAAGAGATTGAGGCTGCGCTTCGAGAGCACAATTCTCAGTCTATGAGCAATGAATCGGGCCCTGGGCAATCTGCAGGGTATGATCCGGCAGGCCAACTTCAAAGCGAGCTGTACAGCCGTGCCGTAAACGAGCCAGAGCAAGTTGATTATATGAATGCGACCAACGCTACTCCCCGTGCGACTCAAAAGCTGGTTGCTGGTAGTCGATTTACCCCTAAATCTCGTTTTTCGTCCCCCAAGCCTCCAAAGCCACCAACGCCGTTTTCAGTCTCACGAATTCCACGTCCTATTTCCGCACAAGACATGGCTCCAGACCAAGCTCTATCCCCACTAAACCCCGGATACCACAGGGGCCAGCTTCCACCTAGCCCTTCCCAAACGGACACCAACAACGACCAATATCACAGCAATCAAGGCGGCATGTTTGACACTACCGACCTGAGTGCCATAGATACTTCCGAGGGAAGCATTACAGAGCCCAACATCCCTGTCACCGCCACTTCTCCTCAACTTTCCACACTCTCTCCCGTATCGTCAAAACGGCCCTTTACCGCATTCACTTCTGACTATCACCCGAACATCCTCAAATCCAAATCCTTCTCCGACCTCCATACCGAACCATTTGACTACAATCCAGCTCCGCCACCGCCCGTCTTTGCACCTCAGGGTCCAGATCTTCCACTCGCAGAAAAGCTAGACCGCCTCAAATCTCTTACAGATGATCAACGACGGTCGTTCTTCTCGTCTCTGACGATGGCGGAATGGGAAGAAAGTGGTGACTGGCTGATCGAGCAATTTGGTGTTATTTTACAAAAGACAAAAGACGCAAGGCGGGAGAGAAGGCAGGTTGCCGCTGTGTTTGAAAAAGAGATCAAACGTCGCTATGAGCTTGTCGAGGGTGAAGTGAAGGATATCCGGGAGCGGATGGATGAGATGAGAGCCAGTGGGATAGGTGTGCTCAAAGGTCGGGGGTGACGAATCACGTTTATTTTGCGTATACTCGAACTCTCTGTGAATGGAACATGTGTATGGGTGATTTTTTTCTGGCATTTTATGGCGCATAATATCGGGCATTTATGATATGGGCAGGCGGAGGAACAGACATGAATAATGACAAAGGCAAGTTATGACTGTGTGGCTTTTCAGTTTATTATTTATTTAGATGGCGATGGGACTACAAACATTCTTATGAAAATAGGCATATAATTTCCATTACTACGCAACTTTGATTCATTATCCTCTCCAAGAAGAAAAGCAAGAGAATTATCAAAATTAAAACACCGTGACCCAATATCTCTTTTACCTCGACAGAGTTGCCAGTCATTCTTCACTTCCCCTTCACTCCTCCGATCCCTCGACCGATCCCTCGACCGCCTCCTCCCGGCCATGTTGTTCCGTCGGCCCCCCGGAGGAACTCTGAGCTGGATCTTGACCTGAGGCACCATCTGCGCCGACAAGAACGGCGCTGTTTATCGAAAGTCCCCGCGGGAAGTATGCCACGGGGCGTCCAGAGCCCGCAAGGAATCCATGATACGGCACCTATCAACGCACCGAATCAAGTCAGCGCCCGTTTTGCATTTTCGCAAAGTATCGTCCTCGGGTTCAGGATGCTCAACTCACATATCTCACAGACTTTGGAGTGGCTCTGCGGAGGTAGCTTTTGTAAAAGATAATCAGTGGCAGTCAGCTGTCATTGTCATGGAATTCGGATTATACCGTGTTGTATATTCTCCGTTGACTCTTCGTCTGGCGATGGGCCCCTGCGATATGTCCTCGACAACTCTGGAAAATCGGCTCTTTGGTGTCGTTGAATTTTCCCTGTTCTTCTGCTCGTCTCCAGCAGCAGAATGGACCAAAGAAAAAGGACCTCGATCAGGGGCATCTGTGAACATAGCAATTGGCTGCGAACAGGTCGTTTCGGTGATTAGGAATTGAGTCTCAGAAAGAAAAGAATGGAGTGATAATCATTCAGTATGCTCAGCAGTTATATCCTAGTACCTGGTGCCTAGGGAGTTGGTTTTGTGATGAACCAACCTTTCCTGGGGTGTTTGCTGTCTGATATATCCGATGCGCAGCTGCCACCCTGCACAACGAAGCAAGTACGAACCACGCCTAAGCCACGAAGACCAGCAAGAGGTCGTGCTGTTGTTGCGTTTTCTAGCATAGCTCCTGCATAGCTCCTGCATAGCTCCTTGCTTCATAGCTGGGTTCCGCCATTTGTCTCATGGACTGGAAAATGCAAACAATCAATCGGATTCATATTTGTGCTAGCTATGCATATACACAGACAGCCCATGACGCTGACAGGTAGAAGCGGATATGCAAATTGCGCTGAGAGCCGAACGCGATGGATCCACTCAACTATTAGTAAGTCTTCTTCAATATAAGTCATTGAAAAAAAAAAAAAGAAATGTATCAGGCTCGAGAAGCAAGAAATATCAAAACGGGGAAGGGGGGAACATCCGTTATACGACAAGGTTGAATGGGACAAGTGGATGCCAAACGAATCAAAACGCTATTGTTCAAACCCAGGGTCTCGATGCGAAACGTGTCAAATGCTGTAGACAAGAAGAGTAGGCAGTTCATGCGAGAATACCAATGCCCGGTTAACCCCGTACACACTCTCCTAGTCCCATAACCCCAAATCGCGCCGCTTTTCCGCTACAAATGACAATGTGAGAAAAGCAAGGGAGTAAGAATGCACCAGTTAGCCACAGATGAGAAATAAGACAAACAATAACATGCAAAGGTCAAGTCGCCTGATAAAAGCACCAGAAAAAGTAGAAAAGCTTGCAAATTGTTGCCTAGAATGGAACCCAAGACAAAAGATGTATTGCAATCAAGAGCAACACCAGGGAATCTTGTGGAAATTCAGTGGCTAAGGCGTAACTATGCAATCAACAAATGGTAAATAAGCGATTAGAATCGGTATTCCAACAAAGCGGCGATTTGAGGGGAATCAAATACTCCGGATTAGCTGCTAGCACATTGCTAACGGCGGTGGATAGAGGATAATTATGCTACATCGACTTCGGGTCCGGCGGAGTTCTCACTGTTGTTGGCGTTCGAGACTCCTTCACCTCGGCATAATGGACAGGAATTCCGTCCAGTAGTCAACCACTACCATGTTGGTCAGTAGATATTGAGAGATTGGTTTCAGTCGATGATCCTTACCTCATCAATGCATTCACGATGGTATATGTGTCTGCATTTTGCTAGTAACCGGACTTCTTCCTCAGCCTCGTAGTCACAGAGGCATATTAGGCATCTTTCGTTTTCATTAACGCGAATACTCGTTCCATCTTCCATATTCTCGGCAATCAATGATCCAGGATATTGAATCAATCGGTAGAGACCCCCCGCAGAAGCGACGTCCTCTTCTGATGCTACGGGAGGCTTAACGGGGCCGAGAAGAGACGACAATAGCATCATATCCTCATATGTAGGGTTCTATCAGCCCGTTAGCTACCTACTAAGGCACCCTCGGAAAAAATAATACTTACATCGGTGAACAAGCTGGGAGCGGTGAGAGCCGGATGATTTTCGGCCAAATTGGCACCAACCACATAGATTAGCCAGCTTCTGGTGGTACTTGGCGAAGAATCATCTGGTTCAACCACTCCATTACGGCGAGCTGCACCTGAACCAAGTCCACGATGCCGCGCAGCTTCTGAATCGCTTCGCCGCCGCTGACGAGGGAAATTAAAAGCCGGGTTTTGTTGAGTAGTCGCCTCAGCTTCTCCGCTGGAATCTTCATTCAGTTGAGGGAGTAATGCCGACGCAGACGATGGTCTTCTACTTGGGGTATTTACGACCGAAGACGCCCCGGACAAACCGGGATCGGCTGGCGTGGAAGGCGGGGGATTTGGTCCTGGCGGGCTTTCTGACAGAACTGTGGGAAGTGACGAGGATAAATCAGCCAAGGATCCGGCATCAGAATGTCTTCGGGAAGACGCGGATGACCTTTGATGGCGGTGACCATCATGGCTGGGGTGTCCTGGCACAGAATTGCGGCCTGTAGAGAAACGAGAACGCCCATCGCCACGGCGCAGTAAACCGCCAGAGCCTCGCTCATTGCGAAGAAGATTTCCAGCAGAAAGGAATGACAAGCGTAGAAGAGATTCAACGTTCAATCTCCCATTGTTACCGTTTTCATGGCCGGTGTTAGCATTGACTGGAATGGATCTTACGCCGACCACGACTAGAGTCAGTAACCGTCTTTCAGGGTTATCCTCCCCTGTTTCCTGAGTGTCTGTCTCCATTGGATCTCCTGAGTCCTCCGGGGTTTGAGACGAGACGGTTGAATGGTCTTGAGGGCTATCAGGATTAGAGAAGCGGAAAACTCTCAAGAAGTTGACGTTGGGAAAGCCCCCCTCTGTTGGGTTATCATTTGTACTAGCTTCTTCTTGCGAGGAAGCGATTTGCTGCAAGCCTTGCAAGAGAGATTCTAGTGGCCCCTCCAGCCCATCCGCTCCCGCGTTTTGAACGTTGGGGGTTGCCGGGACTGTATTCCCTGAGATCTGAGCTGCAAGGGCACTGGCGGCAAGATGTAGGATGTGTGCCAGAGGAGTCTGTGGAGGCTCATCTCTTCGCAGTAAGCGAGTTGCTCGCGACCTAATTGCGGCTGACCTTCTCGGCTCTGGAAGCGTGGGAATATAACGTGCAGAGGGAGACGAGTTTGAACGAATATGTCGAGTTGCTGGCTCAACTGAATCAAGCTCATGCGGCTCATCCAAATCCATTGTGGAAGCCGTGTTTCGGAGTGTTGGTAGTGAGCTGTCCGAATCTTCCATAAACCCAGAACGCGAGGGCCGTCGTGGCGGGGTTGTAGATGCTTGACTTGAAGTTGACGGCGAAGGTTGGCTAAAAAAGTGCGTTAAGGGAGAGGCTATTGAGTTGCGAACATGGCTGAGTCGAGAATGGCGGCGCCAGGAGAATCTCCGCTGGGAGGTAGCTCTGTTCGTATCTAGAAATGTTGGATTTGGAGGAGAATCAGGAACCAGCGCAGATTCACCGCGTGGTAAGGCATATGGTCCCCGTATAGAACGTCTCCGTGCTACCCCCCGGGATCCTAAATTTCTGAGTGATGGAGATTGCGGGCGGGTACGACTATCCTGCCGGGAACGTCGGAGAAATAGAGAAGACCGATGAGCCCGGCTTTCTGACTCCCTTTCGTCTTCGTGATTGTGTAGGCTTCGTCTGATAGAATGTGGAATGATTGACCCTAGTCTGGACATTGCCGAATGTCTGCTAGTGGATGACCGAGCCGATGGACGTGTATCAGCAGAGTACTGCGTTGTCAGTCCTTCCATAGGCAGATCGGCCTGACTATCAGATATCGATGCTCCCATCTCGTCTGAATTGTTTATCGATGCAGGGCTTATCGACGATGTTTGAGGGCCTGAAAGATTCAAAGTCGACGAGACTGCATCTGGTGTGTGGCTCGATTCATTTGCAGCATGGCCGGTTTGAATGCTTGGAAGGCTGGACAATGAATCCAGTTGATCATCGCGAGTTTGTTGATCAGATGTGGAGCTGATGCGGCGTAGAAACTCCGATCTTTGTGTAGAGCCAGTTTGACCCATTGTGAGGGACGGGAGAGAAGGATCTGGGCGGCTATCGGAACGAGCAATAATGGCGTTAGGCATGAGCTGCCATGTCAACGACGCAAAAGAAGGAAAAGCCTATATAGGACGAGCAACTACATAAGCATCCATTCTAGGAGAGGAGAGAGTGTGAAAGCAGCCAGTTCATGGGTTCAGAGTTGGACTGACCGCAAAGGTGTTCGAGACAAAAGGATGATACGTACTAAGAGGTGCTCTCAGGCGGAGCCAAAACACTAGCTAGGATAAATTGCTTGTAGCTAAATAAAGCGCGTCAAGTAAGGCAATGCGGTTAGAAGATGTTTCTTAGGCTGTTTCAGCTTGCCCTCAGAAGATCGCGTGGGATGAGAGCGAGGAGCAAAAGCCGCAAAAAGAATGGCAAAAGGGCGGGCACAAAAAGAGAGACAGCTGCCCTGTGCCTGTCAGATATCTAAGTAAGCAAGTTGGATGCTGCACAATCGTAGGCTGCGGGAGGGACGGAGAGCATCTGATGGAGGATGAGGATGTTGGCTTGATAAGCGGCGGTTGCTTTGGGAATGATGCACGGGGGGCAACGGAGGGCGACGCGTGCCACCTGCGCAGGCGGAATGACTTCATCTGCAAACCCGAAAACCGCAGAAATCGCCCAAGAAGATACGGTGTCCTCGTTGGTGGCAAAGACTCGTGGCAAAGGAAGTAAGTCTCTGTGCAACCCGTCAGGAGGAACCAGGCACTAATCTATCGCACCTAGGAGTTTGTCTATGCGATGAGTGTGCACATCAAATCGTCGCCTGGGAAGCCGCCGGTATGGGGTCCGCAGACCTCAAAGATGAAGTTTGAATCCGTGCCTGGCCCCTGATGCCGTGGAGTTGCTGATATTCGCATAGCTTTTGTGAAGAGGTAGGGACAGTCTCGCGATGGGCTTGCCTCTTGTCTGCGCGATTCGGTGTTTTAAGTAATCTTCATCGATTTTAGGACTATCATATCACAGGATATGTAGGAGAATTCATCAATACTCTTACCAGTTTGAGCTATGGTTAGTGCTTTGATGCTTCCAAATGCTTCTGGTCAGCTTCGAATGCATAGTTACCCATTCAATCGACGCGGAGCGTGTGAATGCGTAACTTGCTAATTTGACATTCTTACTACTCTCAAGTCTACCTGGGATGTTATGCGCTCTACCGCCAACGCTCGCGCCAGAACGAGACACAGCTGACCCATTACCTTTCCTACATCTCCCTGATAATCGTCGGCATCGGATCCGCCGCCTACCATGCAACGCTCAAGTACCCGTGGCAACTAGGTATATCTTGAATTCCACCTCTGATCAGCCGTTCAGTGGCCATTTGCCAGTGCTCGGTGACCGGTGTTGACATCTACGTTTTCTTTGTGCTTTCTTAGTTGATGACCTCTCCATGCTCTTGGGTGCGGGTATCATGTTCCACCATGTTATTACGATCAACCGCGGAACTGGATTTCAGATCCGTGTATTTCTTCTCATCGTTGGCGTTCTCTCGCTGGCAATCTGGGCTCATATCAAATCGGGTGACTCGGCGCTGCACCAAATCGTCTTCGGCAGCATGGTCGTTACCGTCGGGTTTCGTACTTTCAAACTGATGAAAACCATGATATCAAATCGCGACATGCGCTCCAACCTACGAAGACTCGCCACTTGGGGTTATGGTGAGTTTTGTTCATCCGCACTCCTATTTCTATAAATTGCGGTGGAGACTAATCGCATCATAGTCGTACTTACCGCTGCTTATGCTCTGTGGTTGGTTGACGTTTTCCTTTGCCAACACCTGAGGGCCATTCGACGCTCGATCGGACTTCCTCTAGCTTGGTTGTTTGAACTCCATGGCTGGTGAGTCTCCATGATTTGCAGGCTTACCGCCCTAGTTGATTGACATTTTGATTAGGTGGCATATTCTAACGGCGATTGGCGTATATGTTTATATGCTATTAGGAGAATACCTCCAGCCAGCATACCGTCACCAGGAACCAGGCGTAAACAGTGGGTTGCTGTCCCTTTTAAAAGGGCCGCCTACAGAGCCAACCATCTTATCAACAAACAAACTTGCTTGTAAAGCTAGTTGACACATTGTGTACGACTTGCACCCGGGTTAAGTGTGCGAGGTATTTCTTATTTTTGTATACAGCTCTATCTACGGTCAAAATACGGGGAAATCTGTGACAATATAGTATCGCACCTGAAGAATATCTATGTGTACAGATCATTGAAGTTTCGCTGCCGCCTGTATGACTAGCTTTCCATGTTCAGGGGATTGATAACAAACCATGGACTCTGTGAATTTTGAACTCTTGGCTCTCCCGCTAAGGTTATTATTATTGAATCATTTCCAAAGGATTCTTTGAACGGCTTTCCGCATCAGGTTCAAAGCGTCCTCGTGGAAAGCATGGTGGCGTTTTAGCCAGATCGGCCGAGCAATCATGCAACTAGTCTAAATGGGATATTCGGCTTCATTGCTAGCCAACCGTCTTTTTCTTGCTCGAGAGGCAACCAGTTCATTCTATAATTAGACGGTCAAGATACTTGCTTTTCTTCAGATGCAGCTCACCAAAAAAAAAAAAAAAATAATGCGGCGCTAACCAAAGGGACAAGGCAGCCCAGTTGGGCCACAGGTTAAATACACTGGCCGCTGAGAGCGGATGCACAGACTGCCAAAGAAATGCATGCGACTCTGCGAGTTGTCATTTCGTATGCCTCGGCACAACGGTACAAAATCATTTGTACTGGACAAGAATGGGTTATCCAGTTATCCATTCTCCACTTGTATAGCTATTTGACTCGAACAGGACCACAAATTGCCCAAAATCTGTGAACAAGTTCTCAATGATAAACCGCCAAAGAACCGGCGCGTGTAGCTTATTTCCAGCCTTTTACAACGTCATCCCAGTACTTCAAGTCGTATCCTCCGTCCAGTCAGTCCATATGTCAACCCTCCACTCCCAAACAACGTACCCGTCCCGTAAATACGGTGGCTGAACATATAGGAAACCTTCCATGATTCCTGCGGATGGGGAGCACGCTTTCCACGTGGGAGTCAGCGGCATCCATTGGCTGATCCCGCTCGAGTTTGAAATGTCCGCCGGCGAAGTTGAATCATGCCGCCCATCCCCGAAGATTCTCGGCCGTGGTTCAGCCTTTTCTCGGGGTTGAGTCGGCCGTGTTCCTCTGGGCCGCGGGGCCAAAAATTTCTCGGTGCCGTCCGGCAAGCTTAGGCATAACTTCGGGTTGAGCCTAAGAATTAGTGAGTATGTCGTGATACGAGTTTCTGATAAGGAGCCCAGGTCGGAGCACTTGGCATGCTTTAGTTTGATTCTTGATTCCGGATGCATGGCATGATTTGCTCGTGCGGGAAAGTTGGGTTCAAAAAGATAAAAAGTGTTAGTAACAGGCCCAAAAGACACTGCATCAGGACAGGGGTTCTCTTGAGTCAACACGGGTCGCCGAACCAGGATACTGGGAGTGGGCATTCCCGGCATCGAGGATGGTACCTTTTTTATACTTTGGGAGTGGCAGTTTACGGCTCCAAGGGAATGTTTCTTAACTTTACCGGAGGGCAAAAAGGTCCCAAGATAGTTGATGTCTTGAGCGCCATGTGGCCACGCGGATCATGCCCCGTTCTCCATTTGGATAGGGACAGCGAGACTTACCTGCTTCCCATGTCTTTGGGTTGAACCTTGTGGTATTGGCGTACAGGGCTCGAAAGCCAGGGCCTCCAACGGACAGAGTCCCGAACTCGATGGTGCTCTTCGGAGCCAAATAGTATTATTGTTCGTCGAATGAGAAACAAAAGCTTGCCAATCAGTTAGGTCTGGCTGGCTGGCTGGTCCTGAGAGTCCAAGCCCCGGGTGTCAAACCCGAACCATGGTTTGGACGTTTGTTCAAGAGAGTCAAGAGGAATGAAAGGTGTTATAAGAGTGCCAGCTATGATACATGGACTGCGTAAGGCTTCTAGGGGCAAGACCCTTTCAGTCTATTTGTCAATTTACCCGCAAACGAAAACAGTTGAATGGAATGTTGCGGGTTTTCGCTGCGTGTCTTGCCAGAGGATGCCTGACCATATCATCTTGGCAGCAGCGCGGAAACCAAAGGCACGAAACGGAGGGCCGGCGCCGATAAGCCGTGCATTGGGGACAGGAGGAGAAGATATCTTCAGAGAGCAGGGACTCAAGATACCCAATGATTCTGGGCCAGCGTGTCGACCTCCAGCATGGCTTCGTTTTGAAGATCGAGTACCCTGCCTAGGAGCGCCTAGTAATGTTTCCAAGGATGCCTCGATTAAGCAAAGGCTAGGATCTGAGTTTTTCGAGAATGCACTGGGAAAGTGTTTGATGTGTATCATGCTTGACAGGTATGAGACAAGACGGACACTGCCCAGCTTTTATCCCATTAAACTGCTCCAAACAATGGTGTGCACTGATATGTAAAGAGTAAAAGAGGTAACCTGCTGTGCCCCAATGTCAGGACACAGAGGGAAAAGTTCCAACTAATAAAGACAGAACGACCTGGGAACATGGAAGTATTTGTGACAAAGTGTACAAGTAAAAATTCGTGAAACTGCTTGTGATTGCAGTGAAAAGATCCATCATGCCTTGAAGCGCCGTGTCAACCAGAATCCTTTGTGCATCTGCGTGAAGCCATCCAATGCGTGCCGAAGCAATATCACTGGCCCTGTCTCATCCTCTCCAATCCCTTCTCGGCATCATCCAGCAAAGCTTTCAGTTCACGACCTCCATCGGAAGCTCTGCCTTCAGCTTCCAGCCCTTTCTGGAGCCACTCGATCGCTTCCTCCCATCTTCCCATTTCTACCAAGCACTTTCCACCTCTCCACCAGGCCTTAGTATTGGTCTCTTCATTGCATTCAATGCTCAGCTGGGCATCGATCCACCCCTCTGGCCAGTCCTGCTGGGACATGTGTGCCTGTGCGCGATTCGCATACAACGGAGCTAATTCTTCGCGAACCAAACCCAGTGGCTCCCATGCTGGTCGACCTAGAGCCATGTCGATGGCATACGTATACAATCTGATCGCTTCGGTAAAGGCAGCCTTGCGATATGCGGCGTTGGCCGAGTCACGCAGTTTGGAGACTTGAGCACTTCGTTTAGGGTTGATGGGGCGTGGAGGAGGAGGGACATTGGGGCTGTCGAGGTTCAAGAGGGCGCGATGGAGAGAGTTCAGCGCCTCCAGTTCGGTAGAAAGGCCAGCATGCGACGCTGTTGGTGCGGATATGGCTTTGGAGGTTGGGTCGAGCTGGAGAGGGTGCTGGATAAAGGTTTCGGCCTCGTCGGCCATGGCGACGGGAGCTCTTGGAGTGCAGGTTGTCTTCTCAATGAAAATGCCTGTGTACGAAGGAGTCGGATCGAAGAAGACTGAATGTTATGGTAAGAAAAGTAACGGTTGAGAATTGCTAGCTAAGCTTGACGTTGTTTTGGACAGAAGTCAGATTGAGATACAAGGTGGCCTTTGCGTCGGGGGATTAACTAACGACATAAAGACGCCTGCTACTGTGCTACATCAAACTCAACGACGCCGTTCTAACGACCAGATGGACATGTCTCTAGGGCCGATTGAAACGGTACTCTGCTGGCCGTATATCCAAGCTACGGACTCGGCATATTTGTCGAGACAACGAATTTTTGCTTGACATCCTGACGATACCTTTGGGGTAACCTCAAGGCGGGATCAACGTTGTTCCGCGGCCAGTTTCACACGATCCACCTGCAACAGAAGCAACAAAGAGCCGACAATGACTCGATGGTGCAAAGATCCCCATTCTACTGCTGAGGACTGATGCCTGGCCTGACGGCCTTCTAAAAATATCATTCAATGGTGTTTTTCACAACCAGACCTGACCGCTTTGATAGGCTTGGGAGTTGGATCAGACCATCCAAGCTAACATGTAACTATCCAGCCCACTCCTCGTACTATGCTCCGTACAGGATTCACGAGCTCTACATCCTCTAGTGCGAAACTCCCGAGGAGCGCGAAAGGCTTTGGAGCCAATCGGTATCTCCAGCAGCGGCTTTTCCGCACTCAGCTTGGCAGGCCACACTGACCACTCTTTTGTTTCGGCCTGCATAAGATGGGAAAGATGCCGAGCGCCTTTTGGGGCGACAGCTTCCCGTGCAACCGCAAGCAACTCTGTGCACATCGGCCCTGTGATTGAAGGCCGGGGAATTTGAACGTGTTGAGACCGGTCATGCGGAGGAGAAGGGCTAGTTACTTTGCATAAGAGGACATGGCGTATTTCGTCCGCAACGAAGACAAACCAAGACAGAACAAGACAGGCCACTGGGGAACTTTGCTCAATGTGAGCTCTGACAATGAGATTCTGTTGTCCGTCCGACTCCCAGCGACGTCCTACTCCTTCGCACCGGGTTATGATTCTCGCCATCTTGATTAGGTTTTGGATTGCGGTCCCGCTTCTTCTCTAAAAGTGTGGGCCAGGTGTCCATATGCACGGTGTCATGATTCATGATGGATGGCTTTACCGGAGTTAGTGAGTGCACTTTTCGAATCCTGGAGAAAGAAAAACAATGTCCCACTGCAGATTGGCTCCTGGTTCTCCCAAGCCCGCGGGGTTCTTCTTCTGTCCTTGTTCCTGGCCGACTGCAGTAGTAAAATCCCATATCCAGCCATCACGAGGGGCATGGACGGCCTTTTACAAAACCAGTGCGGTCTTGACTTCCGCTCTGTAACAAACTAGCCGTAACAGCGTAGCTGCGTAATTCCAGGTAAAAACCCTTATCGCTGTCTCCCTGGATGTTGAGATGAGAAGAGGCTTTTTACTTCTTCCCTGGCGCCAAACATGGATCTGACTCTTTCGCTCTGGAGTCTGATGGGATTTCGGCATGATCGGATCTCTAATCAGGATGATTGTGAAGATCTGGAGTTTTAGGTTGGCCAATCTTTCCCTGTCATCATCTCGCCCCCTCCATGACATCTGGCACCTCTTCTAGCTAGTTAGTTGGACTATGGCCACCAGAGGGTCAGAATTGTTTCACAAAATCAGCAACGAGTAGGCGAAATTATGATTATTCCAGCGCTTGTTTCTCACGGACGGTGGATCCTCGATATGGAGCCGGGAGAACCACGTCTGCACAACGCCTGCACTGGTCTCTCTCGATACCCACGTCCAGGACACAAAAGTGATCAAAATGCGGTTGGCTCAGCCCATCCAGGCCGAGAACCGTTTTTATTGAAAGCCCCAGAAAGTCAATTTTCCCCTTCTCCGGCCTCCAACAACTTAACAAGTCTGACTTTGGGATGAGGCTGGGCGATCAACCACCTTGATACTGTCCAACTCCCTCACGACTACACTCGTCCTGTTTCCGACGGAGAGTGATTCTTCTGGCCCGACTGCTCCCGTAAAACTCGTTGATTAGAGCTAGTTAGCTAGCTACTAGGCTGTAAGTCAGGAAGCACCCATGAGCATTCCCTTCTTTTCACCCTCCTCCCTGTCGCTGTCCGTTACCACGCTAGAGTACCACTGGGCCAGGGACGATTTCCTGCAAGTCCATTTGTTGGCGTATGGCCTGACTAGAAAGTCCATCTCTCGAATAGTGGCTAATAGTGCTAATAGTTGTTTTCCTTTTTCTGGCTCGTACGGGTCAAGTAATTCCCACTTCAAAAAACCCTGGCTTCCGGTCCTCTGGAGCCATCCGCTAACGATGTTCCCTGCAATTCACCCTTTGTGCATCTCCAGTTTTGCGCCTCAGCTCTGATCACCTACATATATCCTTGTTGCCATTTGATCATTGCCGTTCTGTCCCAAACTTAGCCGGAAACGGCTCTGCGTGTCTATTTTCCGCGCTGTACGAGCTCTTCCCTCCAACCTCACTTGCATCTCCAGTCGCACACACAGCCAGTGCCTTTGAACCCTGCTGGTTTTTAATTTACACAGTATCATAATCTTGCAGATTGGGGAGGTCCCTGCTTAGCTTTTTTCCAGCTCTCCCTTCCATTTCTCCTATGCTACCCGTCCCGATGGGCAGATCCCTGGGCTAGCTTGGTACTCTTCTGGATTGGCCCGTGGAATCCAAGGAAACATGCATTGTTTGGCTAACAATTTACTTTAGGAGGCTACTCACATACATATCTGGCCGCGACTGTGACGACATGGCCCTTAAACTTCACCTTGCTGCACCTTCTTCTTCTGAGGAAGGCTTCAGAAATTATCACAGCTAGACGAAGCTGGGGCGCTTCTCATCGACTTGTCACAGTCTCTACCCAATTTTTGCACGTCGCGGACTGTCGTAACTCCTCTCTCCCGGGCCCCTCGACATCAAAATGGCAGCGTCCGAGGCATCCAGATTCGGCCAGGAGAGCGGTTACTCCACGCCTGTTCCAAACGCATGGAATATACCCTCCAATGCGTTTCCAGCTCGGTCGAACATACAGCTAGGCCCGTCGTACCCCAACACCCTGGCATTATGGCATAATCCGCACCGCCTTCACACTTCAGAGTCCCACGATTTTCGCATGCAGTCGCAAATCCCGCAGAGACCACCGGAGCAGAAACGGCACAAAAGGACCAAAAGCGGCTGTTTCACCTGTCGTGCGCGGCGGGTAAAGGTTAGTACAACTTTTTTTTTTGGTCTCTTTATTGTCGCCAACAGTGAAGGCCCGATGACTGATAACACAAAAGTGTGACGAGACTCGTCCCATCTGCGAGCGTAAGTACACCCACTCTGCACTTATATATGAAAGAGTAACGAGTTGACCTTACCGGTTTATCTAGGTTGCAGTAAAGGGAAGAGAGAATGCACATACCCACCCTCGCCGATGCTCAGGAAAGACAGTCGATCAAACATGAAGATGAATGAGAAATATCCTCCGATCCGAGAATCCGAATCAGAAGAGAACAGTCAGAATAGCGAGCGGAAGCTAGATCTACAGCCACGACATATGAAGGACGCTTCAAGGCATAATGCTCAGTCTGTTGCACGGAGGAAAATGCGGCAGTCGCCTGAAACCAAATGTGCATCTCCCTCAAGCGACATGACTGACCTTTCGACGAAATCACCTAGCCCAGTAGCATCGGCTGATCCGGATTCCCACTCACTACCATCTCCGACGCTATCTGATCAGGGCTTGACATCGGACGTTATGTTTTTTGTTGCTTATCGCAAACAGAATATAAACTATCATCACTATATTCTAAAATCCCACGCATCCAAGTTCATAAACGAAGACATGATGAGCTATGCTTTGGGTTATGAACCTTTATTATACGCCGTTGTCGCTTTCTCCGCATATCACTACTCCATCGCGCATCCTAATGGGAAAATCTATACTTTCCTTCAATATTACAACAAGTCGGTATCATTACTTTTGAACTCGCTTCGGGGAGGCGAGAATCATCATGATGCTATGCTTTTAACTATACTGCAATTGGCTGCATTTGAGGTATGTAATGATTATCTCTAGGATGGCCAACCTTTTGCTGATTGGGGATATCAGGAGTTTGTTGGGGACTGGGTGAACCTAATTGATCACCATCAAGCGGCGCACCGTATGCTTGTGGAGCTTTATAGCCCCGAGAGCATCAATGTTGATTATTTCCATCGTCATATCCTGCTTTGGTATAACCGCTACGATGTCATGGCTGGTTTAATGTCGGGAAACTCAATGGTTCTAAGCCGTGAATGGTATATTGCGGATGAAGAATTTTCGATGCAAGACTCATTCGATCATCCGCATGACTTGAACAAGAAGGTTATGGCATGGGGTGCGCGAACTCGGCGGTTTGCGATGGATATGGCATCTTTATTTGCAAAGATGTCACACGGGCTCATTACCCTTGAACAATTCAAGGCAGAGAAGGAAATCGTGGATAATACCTGGAGCGAACTGCATCAGTTTGTGGAAACCATGAAAGACCCCAGATACTTGGTGCTTTCCTATCCACACCAACAGCCCCTTGAGCCGGACGCAGTTTTTGACCCTTATGCGCCTGGGGTTATCTACGGTGATGAACTGTGGGAAGTCAATTTTTGCTTCATGGAGCTAATAACAGCTACCCTTCTATATAAATATCAAACAGCTCCGATATTGCAGAATTTGGATCTCTCCGAGCTGAAAACCATGGCTATGGAACAGGCCCAACGAATCGAAACACTGAGCCGCTGGCCGAACCGTCCTGAGGAAATGCATCTCTGGTTCATGTCCCCCTTGGGGATGGCTGTGCTTTTCCTACCTCACGATGAAAAGTACAATATGTGGTGTCGAAAGAAGATGGCCCGCAACGAACAACTAGGGTGGGTAGACCTGATTTATTGTATCACTATCATGGACATATGCACTAACTACTAAAACTTTTCTCTCTATAGATACATATACCCGCCAATGGTTCGCACGAAATTGGCTGACCTTTGGAAGACCCCGGAACTTGAACACTGGTGGCTCCCGAATGATGAAGGCTACCCCAAGATTGTCCGTGAAATTCGAGCCTGGACAAAAGAACGTGTCAACGACCCTAGGGACACTTTCCGTGAGGCTGTTCGTGACATCAAAGCTGTGTTTGGAAATATGAGCTTGGAGGACAGCAGCAGCCCAGCAAGCACCCCGAGCGTTCACAGTTCGGCGTATCTGGAACTCTCGCCGGGGCGGTCGCCGAAAGAGCAAACTGCCCAACCGAGATAGGGTCACGTGGATCGAGTCTAAATCAACATCTTCTCCCTCCGACGTCGAAAGGCAGGCACTGGAACGCGGTTGGATTAAGCTTATTTCAACGACGGTCTTCCTCTGAAGGCCCGTTGAATTCCTCGGAGCCGTTCCGCCGACCTCGGGATATGGAAACAAACCCGAAAGTGTCCCCTGACTACCGGCTCCTCGGTAATCCACGGGAAGCGGTGCTGCGTCCTTGAGCCGCGGCAACACTCCAGCAACAACCCGACGCGCAGGACGGAGCAACCGCCCCTCCCAAACATACTGAGTCGCCTCCCATATCTTACGGTTTGAATAACCAGATACAATCTTCACACTGTTTACCTGGCCAATGCTACTATAGCCTTATTCCGTATCAGGCGTTGATAATCTCTGGCATAATGTTTAGTCGATTGAAATGTCCCCAGTCGCTGTGAAACGAACAATGAGGATTTCTTTTTTTTTCCACCATTCCACTATGTGACAGCAGTCGTTCCTAAAAACACCTGCGCAACTATGTATGAGGCTGAATGTAATCCGTCTTGGTTCTGCATTGCATATTGCGAAAAGAGAGCTTTTTTGAATGCAGCGCAAAATCTTAAGCTATTGGCTCATTGGGATAATTACTGGGTTTATCTTGAGTCGATAATGTATTAACACTGGATAGCGAATGGAGATGGTCCGGGATTGACTCTTGAGTTGCTGGAAAGGGATGCCATTCTACTTGGTTGTTGAGGATAGAATATGCTGCTGGAGAATCCTTTTGGCAAAATCAACATGTCCCTTTGCGGCATTCGCAAAAGTGTTCTTAATTGCTGCGTTGATTCTGTTCAGCATATCCTTGATCCATTGTAAGATACAAGATCGGATTATTTCCCGTTTGTAAAACCTTCCATTTTGAAGTAAAGGTCCATTTGAATAACCCATGCTGCCATGCAGACAAGCTACAAGAGCCAATATACCCATGATCCATACCATGCCAGCATCTAAGGTATGAAATTTCATCAAATTCCAATTCATTTTTCTAGATGTCATTGATCCCTGTTAGTAATGTGCCCCTGGTCCCCTGCTGGATTGATAGGGACGCATCTGCGGGGTCATTCCTCGTCGCTGATAAGCGCCGGAGATTGCCGTAGTCAGCTACAAAGACATTAAAATTCTTGTCAGTTGCTCAATGAAGGATCTAGACCACTAGGGTTTCAGATATGTGTGATTAGCATCGAGAGAAGAGTTGTCTCAGAGCTCACATCCCGGAAGGATTTTCAAAGCCTACTCAAAGCAACAATGGCTGTCTGAGATAGGCGACAAGACCCCATCAAGAAGACGGCAAGTCCCTAGAGTACTCTATTCATACAATTTCACCTTGCCAGGCTTTCCTCTAACCTCCACGGCTGCGACAATCGTCCCCAATCCCGCGGGGAGCTCCTTTTCTTCGACTCCACCACCAGAATCTTGAGCCATCCCCATTTCGCCCCATGGCAGCGCATCGACATCTATTTCTAACCCCAAAAGACTCTTGAGCACAACACCTGCCCCGGCTTTGCTCATCACAACGTTCAGTTCAGGGCAGCGCTCGTCGCACACGCATTCAACACACCCACGTGGTGTGATACAAGCACATGACTCGATCCGGTCGACTGCGCGACGAAGCAAAGTGTCCACGAATTCGAAAGCTTTAGAGGCAATGCCTGAGCCCGACGCGCCGCCTTTGGCGTCATAAAAGGTTAATCTGCCGGGTCGTTGGCGGCGCGGAGGTGGAGGAAGCTTGGTGTGATCCCTCAAAGAGGCTGAAGACGGCTCTTTGAGCTCTTTGATTGCGACCTTGCATTCCGTGCGTACGTCGCCAGGTGATGAGACCACGAATGTTGGTAAGAGCGACATGACCGCATGCTCTGCAGCATGAATGGCGGCGGCGGCGTTCAAATTATGGGATGCTAGAATTTCAAGTGCCTGTTTGGGTACGTCAAGCCACATACCCTTACTTAACTTATCTATCGGCGAGATATCCAACACTATAGCGTCCAGAATTCGGTTTCTCTTATCGATTTTAAAATATCCGTAAACCACAGTGTGAATTTGAATAGCACCAAAAAAAGCCCGGCAATTGGAAGCGTCACCTAACGGTCTTATGGCCTCAGTTTCTATCGGGTCGACGTCAGTGAAATCTCGCTGTTGCGTCGTCCAGTCGACGTGGACACGGAGAACTCGGGCAAACCGTTGGTCTGTATTCAACTCCTTGACCATGTACGTGTGGCCTTGATGAAGAAATATTGCCCCTTCATAAAGCGTGAAGGATACACGCGTATCTTCTATCTCTTCGATGACAACGTTGCGATTGTTTGTTGTATCGATGACGGCGTAATGCTCCTGTTCTACGTCGCGGATCTGAACGCAACGTGCCGGTTGAGGCCGGAATCGTTCATGGCAATGGTAAAATCCCATATTGTCTCGTACTAGCCGGCCGAACGCGAGTTGGGGAAGTTGCGTGCCAAAGTATTTGATGTCTTCTTCGGGGCGAATAGGCATTTCATATGCGGCGCACTGTAGATGACCTTCAAGAACTAGCTCGTTCTGCAAATCAACCTGTAATTCGCAATTCGGTTTCGTAAAGAGCTCATCAGGATTTCGCATGTAGTGTTGATCGGTTGCGTACATATCTCCAACTAATATCGAAAGGGAGTCTTTATTCCTGCGACCTGCACGCCCGCTCTGCTGACGTAGATTAGATATTGAGTATGGAAAGCCGTGGGTGATGACTGCATCCAAGGACCCTATATCAACACCCAGCTCCAGAGCATTAGTTGCCACAATTCCTAACAATTTCCCTTCAAACATCTCTCGCTCGATCTGACGTCGGTCTTGGGGGCTGTAGCCGCCTCTGTATCCCATGACGAACTTGGCAACACTGGAGCGATCCAAAGCGCGAAATTCATCTCTCACTGTGCTTAGGAGAATTTCGCACTGTTTTCGAACACGGCAGAAAGCGATAACTCTCACCCCGCGGAGGATAAGTTGGCAGAACAATCTCGCTGACTCTAGCATGCTGTTGCCACGGCCGGAAGTAGGGTCGTCGGGATCTTTAAAGGGAGTATTCCAGCAGACGAATTCCTTCCGGCCTGAAGGCGATCCATCGCAATCGGTTAACTTGACCTCGTCAACGCCAAATATAGTCTTCATGTGCTCCTCTGGATTGGCAACAGTGGCAGAACAGGAGACAAATTTCACATTATAGTTGCCCAAAGAGGCACATATCCTTCTCAAGCGTCTCATGATGAAGGCCACATGGGATCCAAATAGCCCATTGTACACGTGAAGCTCATCGACGACTACAAATTTTAGGTTTTTCAAGAAGGTGCGCCAGGATGCCTCCTGTGGTAGTATTGTGATGTGAAGCATATCTGGGTTGGTAAATATGATTCTGGCTTCATCACGGATTGCATTCCTTTGCTCCATGGGTGTGTCACCATCAAAAGTTTCCACCATCGTATACTCCAACCCGTCCAGGTATTGCAACAGTTCCTGCATATTCCGTCGCTGATCTTGTGCGAGCGCTTTTGTCGGAAAAATATACATTCCCCTGCTTTGAGGATCCCTTTCTAGCTCGCACAGCATTGGGATCTGGTATATTAAGGATTTTCCCGAACTGGTTGACGTAGACACGATCACGTTATGTCCGTCATGTAGATTGTTAATAGCTTCAGCCTGATGGGAATATAGCTGTGTGATTCCCTTTGTGTTATACAGCGCATTTACCACGTTTTGTGAGAGCTGAAAGTTTAAATCACCATATACGGGTGACTGAGCATCGAAGATCCGATGCCCATTTGGAACAACCTGACCGGTATACCATTCTTGCTCTTGAATTTCTGCGAGGATTTCAGAAACTGATTTTCTCTCCTTTGGAATTTGAGGAGGCAATTTGGCAGCAGCGGGAGTAGTAGTTCCAGGTCCACCGAATACAGGTAGAAACATATCTTTCTCAGATTCGAGTTTTGCTACTGGATCGACGCCCTCATTCTGGCAGCGAGCAAGAAAGGTATCGATGGCCTCGGCAAACTTTCTATTCCGTTTCTCAATCAAACTTAACATGTGTTTTTGGTTATAAGCCGGCAGCCTTATACTGTCATCCCAAGGTGTCCGAAATGCAGTCCCGGTAGCCTTTTCTTTCTTTAGATCCCCATCCACGAACTCAAACAGTAAAACTTCGTTCTGTTTGCCTCCACTGTCGCCAGGAGTCTGTGTGATATTATCAACGACTTCACCCATTTCCTCCGTTTCCCAATCATCCCAAGCCCTGCCAGCCCTGCTCCCTCTTGCTTCTGGTACGCTCAGAACATCAACTACACCCGCATCTACAACCTCGAATCTCACTGCGTGCGGAATCAGCACTTTGACCTTTGCAACATCTTCAATCGTTAGCTGTCTACCGCCCGTTTGGGTCTCAACAGCCGACTTGATGTTCTCAAAAGTGGTGGCAAAGTGTTTCCTTGTACAGCAGAACGTGTATACGAGGTTTAGAGCGCGGTGGGTTTGGGACAGGCGTTTGAAAGCAGAGGGCCAAGGGAGATCAGGCTTACGGCTGGGTTTCTGGTTGGAGCGAGAGGTGCTGGATGCTCGAGACGAGGCGGTGGAGGAGGGATTGGAGCGTGGAGGCTTGCGGGAATGCGTGGGACCATCGTGTTGCTTCGTAGGGATGGTGACAGTATTGGCATCGTCATGGGATGTTGAAATTGGTGTGAGAGGTTGAGCGTCTTCAAGACACTCCGCCTTCCTCTTCTTGGTCATTTTCAAATAGCTAAATTGTTCTGATAGCCCGAGGGCCAATTCATGTCCCAGGACCCAATCTCGGTCTCCTGCCTGCCATTCTTCTCGTACTTGAAACTTGAAAAGATGGTGAATCTGTTTCTCCCGCTTCGACGAAGTGCGATCAAGAGGTCGAGTTAAGGTTGGGCATCACTCCGATCCGGGCTTGGCACACTCGGGCGGGTCACGGGCCATCTTGCTACTTTATATAGACCGAAAATAAACCAAGTGTAATCCATAGTTGATATGTATTCCAAAGACCGCTTTCTCCGCTGATAGTGATACCATACTAATTGAAGACATATTGTGCCTTAATATTCTACCTAAAGGGCTTTACGCAGTTACAGAACTCGTATCTATGGCGCCGTTAGCTTTAGAAGATCTATATCTCACAAGAAGTGGCAATATACGGAAACAAGCACTGTTTTTCGAACAGGAGTGTTACACCAACATGGCCTTGGGGACAACACCGTGGTCATGGGAATCGTCTGGGCCGGGAAGCAATTGACCAAGCAGCTACACGTGGCGAGTAGTCTTCAGGAGGCATAAAAACCAGAACATAATCCCATCCGGCCTTCGTTGTGGCGCCGGGACTGCACGCCTTGAGCAAACATGGAGTTCCAAATTCTCTCCGACCTGCACCTCGAAACTCCCGCCTCCTACGACATCTTCGATATTCCTCCCAAAGCCCCACACCTAGCCCTGCTCGGCGACATCGGCAACGTGCGAGACGAAGGCTTCTTCCTCTTCCTCGAGGCACAGCTCCGCCAGTTCCACACAGTCTTCTTCGTACTGGGCAACCATGAACCTTTTCATTCCAGCTGGGCCGAGGCGCGAAACCTAATACTAGAATTCTCAACGGACGTCGCCGTGCGGGCGGACGCTGAGGGCCTGGGAGAATTTGTTTTTTTAGACCAGACGCGTTACGATGTGTCGAATGATTTGACCATACTCGGATGCACCCTCTACTCGCACGTACCACCAGAGCATGAGGAGGACGTTCGTTGCGGACTGAACGATTTCTACCAGATTGACGATTGGACCGTAGAAGCGCATAATGCTGCACACGCCGCGAATGTCAAATGGTTGAATGAGCAAGTCCTTTCAATATCGAGGTCGGAGCCGGGACGACGGATCGTGATACTCACCCATCATAGCCCGATTATAGATGACCCACGCGTAATTGATCCAGCCCACGCAGACAGCCCGATACTGTCTGGTTTTGCAACTAATATGAAGGGAGAGGAGTGCTGGAAAAATGCGAATGTTATCATGTGGACATTTGGGCATACGCATTTTAACTGTGACTTTACGGTGGACGATGAAAAGGCGACCCGAAAGAGGATCTTTAGTAATCAGCGAGGGTATTACTTCAAGCAGGCGGCTGGGTTTGATGTGACTAATGTAGTGAATGCTTAAACGATAACAATCGGAATGAAGGCGTAATATAACATTTGGCGGTCAAGTTAGACGGGAAAACCACTCAAACCCTTGGATCTAGCCATTTAACGGGCAGAGGAACCTGAAAGGCGGTGCATTAGAAAAGTAAATGTGATCTCTACTGCCCTCGTGTGGTTGTTGAATTACAGAAGGCTGGTAGATTGCATCCTCGGTGCAAACTGGGGAAGCGAAAGGAGGTTGTATTCTGTGAATGCTTGCAACTAGATGCTGTGGCCAATACATAACGAAAATGATCCAAATGAGTTTGGGGCCAGATGGAAAAGCTATGAACCAGTCAACATATGCTGGAGTTGGTCAAGAGGGAAAGCAAAACGGAGCCAATGGACAATTTGATAGTGGAAATCACGGCTGAGCTCGTGCTCGTGGTTCATGGCGGAAGAACTTTGATACTCTCGGCTGGAAGTAGGGCAATAGATTGTGGTTTCTCTTGTAGCTATCGCAGGGTAAAGCTACAATGCCAGAGAGAAAACATATCAGCAAAGAAAAGGAAGTTAACCAGTGAAAGTCCATGTAAAAAGTTCAGAATTACATTAAAAGGAGGCACTCTATGAGCAGAGAAAAATTTTCCAGAGAACGATATAAGCAGGGTCTTTGTTTTCCGACTGAGATTCACGGATATATGGTCGCGAAACTCTGAGCATGAACGGATCTGGAAAACAAACAGCCTCACGGGAGAATTGGGGCGAGAGCATCTCGAGATCCCAGGACAAAGGAATTGTATAAATTGTGATTGCGTTGTGTAGATAACGATTTCCGCCTAATAGACCGTGAAGGACGCCCCCTATGATCTAGATGATTCGACAACAAATGAGATCGCATTCCGCGTTCCAAGATCAAAGTTCCGACAAAATGGACTGGATGCTATGGTATGCATCTTTTGCAGCGGTAACACTTGCGGTCTACATTGAGCATTAGTATGATCACTGGTGTAAAATGTTGAATTTCAGAAACCTACTCTTAGCAAGAACGGCGTGGTTTTACCGTTTTCAATTCCAACGAGATTAATCTGTTTTCCTGCTGGCTCATTTCCGCTCACGTCTCCCACTTTCATTCCTTTGAAAATCGGAGAATTAAGGACAACCCGCAACACGGCGTCGGTACGCATGATCATTCGAGCAGATTGAACAGTTTTTTTGCCCCCAGCGCCGCCTTCGGTGTCTGCAGGTGATTCCACAGCGTTTATTTTAAACGTGCCAATGCCACGTTCTTTCCATTCTTTGCCATCAAACTGGAATAACTTCCCTCGGCACGAGTACAATGTCGTTTCGCCTTCTTCACCGGTTTCAACTAGAGGGGAGACCACGTTAATGCCATGAACCATATCAATAGTCTTTCAATTCAATTGCACGTACTATCTTGCTTGAAAAACCTCTCATCCTCTTTCACTTCCTCAAGCCCTTCAAATGCCGGACGTGCCTCATCGACCGCCTCCTGTTCGTTTTCCGCCTCATCATCTGACGCCGAACCGAAGGCCTTTGATTTCGAACCGGCACCAAAGTTGCTACCACCGGTTTGAGAAGCAAAGCTAGTTAACCCTCCCGCTGGTTTTGGTGCTGCAGAGGCAAAACTAGCAAAAGCGCTTGCAGCGAATCCCCCAGGAAGCGAACCAAACGGAGATGCTCCAGTTCCCGTGAATGGCGAGGGACTTGCTGCAGAGGTAGATGCAGCTTCTTTTTTCTCTCCAGCACTAACTTCAGTAGGTTTCAATGTTTTGAAAACAGACGTATCACCTCCGATGATGCCAAATGGCGACTTTTCTGAGCTGGCGAAAGCGGCCAGTCCTGACGAAGCAAATGCGGATGAGGATGTCATAGGTTGGCTCTTTGGGGGTTCGTCCTTCGAGCTAGACTTGGTCGCTTTGGACGCGTCTAAATTAGCGAATGGGGAAGCCGCAGAAGTATTTGCAAATGGATTTGGCAAGGATGCCTATGGCGAATGTTAGCAAAGCTCTCAAACCAACTCATAACTAGGCCAGACGAGCCTTTTCATTTTTCAGGGCATCTCGCTCCTTCGAGTCATCACGGTGTCTCTTCTTCTCTGGCTCGCCCTCCTCCGTGCGATTGTTGGTAGATAGCGTGGGCTTTTCCGCATCAGCTTTATCACTTGGCTGCCCTCTTGTTTCGGTGTGAGTTTGTGTATCCTTATCGAGTTGGTCTCTGCTTCGCTTTTTCTTCGGGCTTAGGACTTGCCCCGTCTCATCCCGTGGCACCTCTCGCGATGGAGTTCGTGCGCGGTTCTCTTTTGGTTCCGGGAGACTCTGCTTTTCTTCAACTTTTGAATCCCTTGACCTCTTCCTCCGTTGGCTATTTTCATCCTTTTTCTCTGTTTCCGCATCGGCGTTGTCTTCTTCTTTGGATTCGTCAAATGATCGTTTTCGCCTCACGCGGCCTCGCTCTTCGTTGTCCGCAGAAGCAGGTTCTTGGGCTGGCGGGGATTTATCCTCGGGGGACGGTTGTCTTGAAAGACTGTTTATGGACGTCTCTTTAAGCTTCTGACGGATAGGCCGTTCACCAGATCCATCTTTCTTCTCGTCAGACGCAAGTTCATTTTCTGTTGTAGACGCTCGTGTCTGCTCTGCTAATTTCGTACCTTCTGAAAGCTCCTCCGCATCGCGGCACGGGGGCTCAACCTGTTCTTTCTGTAGCTCTTCTAGGTGTTAGCGTTAGGTACTTTCGATTCTCCTACTACATGGAGCGATTTTCTGTAAATAGGCACATTTCTGCATACCTAGCATTCCAGTACCTTGTCCTTTGGGAACCCAACTATATTAGCTTGACAGTCGAAAACAGCTTGAACTCAGACAACGGGACGTCACTGCTCGAGCTGGCCCAAGTCAAGGATCACATTTATTTCTCGTACCTTCAGGAATGCCTTCAGAATCATTCAGGAGCTCTATCCGTCCCAAACAAAGCATGAGTGGCGCTCATTTCCAGGGGTGGGGAATGGAGATCACTCACCATTAGGCTGTCCATTTTGTCCTTGGGTCTCCGGCTCTGCCATGTCGAGAATCTCTTCGCCCGTCTTCGCTTTGATACCTGGTCCCGGTGTCTGAATGAAGTATCCGACGTTGAGCGCCAGAAAGTTGGTGGGGAAGAACGGAATCGAATGGCGGCTTGCTGTTCGAGGGATGAGAGTGATTGGAGCGTGATCAATTTTAACCACACAAAATATTGAACTGTCTTTGTCCAAAGTTTGAATCCTTCGAGTCGATGGTTCTGTTTTTTTTATTAATGCTTTTCTTCTTCTTTTGGTCTTCGACGTCCGCTGAGATCCTCTATTCCCTGAAGAAATTGATCGCAGCTGAACTGTTCTCCCAAGGAAGGACTGGCGGTTTGAAGCCCAAAAGTGCGGGTGCGTGGCAAGATGTAATTCGACCTGACTGATGTGACGCGAGCTGGGGGGTTCGTCTTTTCTTCGGTGAGTTGAAATGGAAAGGATGAGAAACGCTTGAATGACAGTTGAAGCGGGTGATCCCGTTTTATATGGCTACTCCTTAAATGACAACCAACACTTCATTGATGAATAGGACAATACCCTGTAGTTACTAATACAATGAACTGATGAGAGGAATGGGATCGAGCTCTGTCCCTGACGGTTCCCCCCACTGGAACGAAGATCATTTAAGTCGACTTTGATTGCGTTGATTGACAATCCCAAGGCCTTTAAGCAAATCAATATTTTCCATCTCAACTGATAAAACATAAGCAACCGATTCCGACGTAGAACACAAGCAGCGGGTACACTGCCAGGAAAACCCTGTTCTTCACGACCCCTGATCCTCCAAGGATACTGACTCCCGCCGCGAGAGACCACGCGACCAGGACAATATACACCGGAATTCGAGGGATGGTGGGCAGTCCAAACGCACTGAGCACCGCCGCAATTACTAGCGGGAATATCGTGTATCCGATCAGGCACACAGACTGAAAAAAAGAACTATTACAGCGTTCCGGTTAGCAAACAAAGCTTTGGAGCCACGAGCGGAGGGTAGAGGAGAGCATACATAGTCCCACCCAGCAATTTAATTTGCAAAGTCACAACCGCCTCACCAATCCATATAATACAAAACATGCCCGAAAAGACCAAACTCTTCTGTTCCTTCGAGGCAGCCATCGAGAGAAACATACTCAGAAGCAAGCAAAAGATCAACGGACCCCTAAAAAGTTGTCAGTCAACTGAATCTCGGACTTAACAAAACGATTATCGGCGTACTAACCAAAGATCCCAATCCCTTAGACCCTCGCTCATCCCACCTTGCAGCACAACATCTGCATCAGGCCATCTTCCCACCAGCTCCCTGACTCCCGAAAAGCCATTTCCGAAACCCGTTGATTCTCCTCTCTCAGCGGCTCCGGCAATACCTCCCCCTCCACGCTGTAACATGCCGCCGAGCAGGTACTTTGGCCAGAGAACTTGTTTCATTTTCTCCCACACGCCCAGCATGTCCCGCGATAACGTATCCCATACCGATTCATCGATTGTGTTTACTGGAGCACGACGATCTTCGCCAGGAATGGAAGAGGTGAGGTAGGAGCCACTAATCCCGCCGCCGGATCTGGAGGATTCGCCTCTGTCATTATTGGAAGAAGAGATATTTCCTGTGAGGGGTGTTCGGTCGGTGGTAGAAGCGAGGGGGTCATCGGCTTCGATGGCTGAAAAGGGACATTGTAATTTAGGAATTGATTTGTCAAACTCGGCTTAGAGAGAGAAAGGACTTGCGCATACCATCATCTGCATCTATAAGGTCATTTGAAAATGAAGATTCATCATCACGCTCGATCACAAACGGGCTACCCGTTCTGCTGCCCCCAGCACTGCTACTAGGCATCATAGCCATCGCTTTGGCTCTTAAATTCACCACTGCCGCAGCACCTAAGTCATGAAAATGTACGGTAAGTAGCACAGGGCACGCGCCCTTAACAACTGTACGCTTTGAATTAGCAATCTGCAACAACCATGACTCCAAGCTCACGGAGCAAACACCAGCAGATGTGGCATTAATGCTGTTGGCTGATGTTGAACCCGACAGGAGATTACGTAACACTCCTTGGTGAGCGCGCTGCTCACGTGAAGATTAACTAGCCTATCAGGCCGATAAGAAGATAACATCAGGAGCATTGCTTCGGCAAGTGATTGCTTCAAGGAGAAGTTCAGCGGGACTCGAGATGACACATGAATATGCGGATGGATAGCAGCAAAGCAATATGCTCAGGCACACGGGGGTATATACAGTCAAAGGGCTCAAGGAAAACGGGGAAAAAAATACAAATTAGAAATAGAATCAAGAAGAAAACGTCCCATCAGCCACCTTGCAGCAAATGAAAATTAAAACAGTCGAGCAGCGTAAAATTCACACTTCCGGTCCAACATCTCCCGCCCAATGCAGTCGTTCATTATCCCTTTGCAGAAACCCGGTCCCATTCCATTCCAGAAACGCCAAAACAAACTCCTCGATTCAACGTCGTCAGGTCATCAAGTTTCAACAACGATCAAGATCTCCACCATTCTATCAACCAAGTACTGCGCCTCTCTTTTCCATCTTCCATCTCGCCATACATCTTGCGCCCAGAAGCGATATCGTCCTTTCCAATCCTCAGAATCAAACTTCCAGTCCCAATCCCAGGGAGCAGATATGCCTCGAGAATGAACCCTTGAATTGCCGTTCCGATGATCGTACGACTGTACGTTCAAGTAGCCAGCACGATGTGGTGAAAGGTTGGTGCTAATCCCTTGGCGATGTCTCCATTCACGCTCCGCTTTCTCTCCAGCACGTTGAGCCACTGCCTCTTCGTCTTCCGCCATGTACAGGTCGCATTTATTGCATTCGGTGCAGCGAGAACCGGGGTTAATGCGAAAGTGTTCACAAAAATGCTTATATCCCTCGCCTTCTTCATCTTCAGGCACGTCTTCGTCTGAATCCCCGTCAAGGTCAGCCGGACCATCAACTGCGCCATCCATAAGAGCGAGATTCTCCTGGCCTCGAAGTGGACGTCCGCCAGGAAGAATCTCGAGTCCCGGCCGCGTCAGCGGCGGACCAAGGGCCTTGCGGCACAGGTAGCACATCGAATATCCGCACACACATGTGAGTTTGTTGCAACCTGAGGATTTGACGAAAGACAATCCACATCGGGGGCAAGTACGCTTTATTGCAGCGGTCCTAGCGGCCTCTACAGTCGTTCTCAAATTGAGAAGAAGAGGTTCATGACACACATGTGGATCCTGCCATGGCTTTTGACAAGTTACGCAGCTGCAACGTCCACATGCGGGGTTTGAGCAAGTAAACCGTTGGTTTCGGCTTCGTAGACAAAGGTTTCGTATTGATGCACTGAAAACCAAGGGAAGTGTGGTTGGGCAGAGGAGAAGAAATGCAGTAAGAAGAACTATAAGAAAGGGTATCATATCAAGAAGAACCATAATCATGCATATTGTAGGCAACAAGCTAGCACGCCGGAAACGCCAAGTCGGACCTCTTGAGGAAGGATGGTAGATGGGGTCATATTCAGCATAGGAACAAGAGGGGCATCGGATAAGTTTGAGCTGCGATTTAAATAGAGCTTCTTCGGCAAGTCGAGTTTCGAATTTCTGATATGTTTCGGAGCCAGCTTTATCGGCTAAAATAGCTTGTTTGACAAGCAGCCCGTCTAGCACCCCACCACAAATGCCATCGGGTAAGGGAGCTAAACAGCGGAGGGTCGATTTCTCATTGTGAATTGAATTGCCCCAGCCTTGGCCAAACAGTGCTTCGCGAATAGTTCGTTGAATACAACTAAAACATATGATATGGGAGCTCTCGGAGCACATTGAGATCTGTTCGAATGCCACATCGGAGAGGCAGCAGCTGCACTCGTACAGTGCATCCGCAGCCTTGGCTTCAGCTTCATTAAGCTCATGCGCCAACTTGTGATCTTCGTCCTCTTGTTTTTCTTTCCTCTGAGCAATCAGTGGTGCGAGAAGGGTATCGTACAGCTCGTTATCCAGCTCAGCACAGCCGGTTCCCTTCAGATGAGGGAGGACGTCTCCGTTTGGTTGCCGTTGCCAAACCAACAGCGGAGGATATTCCTTTTCCTTGGTCTTCTTGAAAGAAAGAATATTTCCTAATGTCGCTCGCCAAGTTTTGCGGGATAGATGTTTTAGCGTCGGTCGCGCACGAGTGTAGGAATAATTGACCTCTGCCAGGACCGCATCAACAGCACTTCGACTGATGGAGCGGAACTCATGACATAGCACTGCCTTCACGGCTTTCTTGTAATAGTCACTCCTGAACTTTTCTTCTTCCGGTACGCTCTTTGCCCACGGTGTCTCCTCATCTCCCGTAGCCGCCACTTGTCTCGAAGCCGGCGTCGATCCCGCATCTGCGGCTGCTGGGACATTCCATCTCCCCTTCACCCACTCATTCCGATACCGCAAAAGCTGCTCCACACACACTTGTAACCTGCTATTGCCATCAAACCGAAGCAGTAGCTCGCGAAAAACCTCGACCTTCACATCTGGAAATAATTCGGCTAGAATCAGGAGGAAGTTGTTGAGTTCCAGCCGCTCTCGTTCGTCTTCTTCGTGGCTGCGGATTGTAGCGGGGCACTTGGACTTGGAGGTTCCGAATGGGTTGCCGCGGAGTGCTTCAATAAGAGTAGTAGAGGCTGATGCGGTCGCAGAGGAGGCAGAAGGCGAAGCAGGGGAGGGGGTAGAAGAAGAAGATGCCGGTGTGATCGGAGTCGAGGAAGCCGGTGCTAAGGATGCTGTGGAAGCATTGCTTGGTGAGGAGAGCACCTTACTGCGAGAATGAGACGGTTTTGACGTGCGGAGAAATGGAGGAATGAAGACCATCCTGTTCGCTTTGGGTATGCTGAAAGAAATGGATTTCTTTGCTACATATTCAAAGATAATGAGTAAACAAAACAATGATGATACTCACTGGATTTGACAGATGTTGAAGATCCACATGCCGCCGGCTGGGGGAGATGGTTATGCACCCTGATCCCACGCCAGAAAAATAGGCTCGGAGTGGCTAACTTAAAAGGCCGGCATGGATCATACATAGGCACCAAGACGCACAACACTACGAATACTTGATGTTATAAAAAGAACGCATTCTTAAGGAGTCTGAGAGCTTTATTGCCATCATGCCATGATGGAATTGACCACCATCCTCTGTAGTTACACAAACACTTTTCTGCCCTTGCCTGATGAAAGATGACTGCTAGACAAGCAAATCGGCTAGGACGGGAGTCCAGAATCCCTACGGAGTGCTCGGGATGCAACTTGGCAAGGAACCGGACAGGGTTACAAAAGCATAGTTAGGTGAATCAGACACGCAAGAATCTTCTGAACGAGGGGGAAAAGGTTCGAGTGCGCCGTAATTATATGAGGTTCCATGGTTGAAGCAAACATTAAATAACTAACTCCCCATCTGGGCTAGTTAGTTATATCCTATTGTAACTACAGGGTAGAACTCGATTTTGTTCGGCCAACGGAGCATGGTTCCTTGATGTTGGTTAAGATATCTCCAGAGCAGCTACCCATTCCACGCTTCATTTCGACTGCTTTGGGTCAACAGTGATACTATGGAAATGGAAATGAAGAACAAAATGGCAATTACCCTAATATATATGTACTGTATATACAATAGTTACATTCAGAAAATATAACATGCACGGTCAACGGAACCCTTACTTTCAATTTCAGTTGGTTCGAGGTCGTTGTGTGCAACTGAGATTCATTGGTTAGAGGCTTAGAGCTTTGCGGTCTTTTCAGAAAGAAGCTCTACACCAGCACCAGCAATGGCCGGTTTTCCGGTCTCCACAACGGTCGTCTGGAAGATGACGACGTTGCCCTCCTTCCACATCTCCGTCTTGAGGGTCTGACCAGGAAGGACAACGCCAGCAAATCGAACCTTGATGTTCTTGAAAGCACCAAAAGTGCTGAAGACATGTTTACCGGAGACACCCATGGAACAAAGACCATGAAGAATGGGGATCTTAAAGCCACCAACTTTGCTAAACTCTGGGTCAATGTGAAGAGGGTTGCGATCACCATTGAGGCGATAGAGAGCGGCTTGATCTTCGGATGTCTTTTCCTCAACAACGGCGTCAGGTTTGCGCTGTGGTGGCTTGTATGCATTGGTGGCCGCCGCGGGACGGCGGGCGGACGGTTTCTTCGAGCCGCCAAAACCGCCACTTCCGCGAATGAACATGGTAGACTCATTGTAGAAGAGATCCTCTCCAGTTCTAGCATCCTTGGTTACGTAGCCATTCACGACAACCGCCGCATTTCCCTTATCGACGACATCGATAAGTTTGGGATAAGACACGGTCTTCGCAGCCGTTGGGATGGGGAATTTCCTAATCTCCAAATACTGCTCGCCGTGAAGCAGCATCATAGGCGAAAAGTTGGCGACAATCTCACCCATGTTCCATGGAATGTTAGTGTTGAACCATGGAACAACACCGAATGTAGGCAGAGGCTGGAAATTATCATCGTTCTCGTAGACAAGAGGAAGCTGGGTTCGTTTGGCACCAAGGCTGACGTTATAAAGGATTACGTCGCGGTCAGTATAGTCAAACGAAGTTCCCTCCGCTTTCACTTCCTTAGCGGCTGTGATTGCATCGAGAATTTGCTGGTTTTCATCATTTGCTTTCTTGGCCTGGCCGCCACTTCGGTTGCTCATGTTCTCCATGATACTCTGTGCTCCGGCCTGACCATCTTCAGGGTGGTCTGCACGGCCATCATCGAAGTCGGTGATCTTGCCCCACATAGAAGCAACTGCTTCTGGGGTCAATTCGACATCAATCGGGAAGCCATGACCACCAGAACGCTGCCATCTGGTTTTGCCGAACCAACCACTACCACATTCGTACAAACCTTTAGTGGCTGGCTCTGGAACCATATCGGAGCACAAAAGGACAATGAGTGGCGCAACTTGGTCAGGTTTGAAAGCCTGAACAACTTCTTCAGGCATAACGGTTCGAGTCATTTGAGTGCCAGCATTGGGTGCGATAGTATTAACGAGGATGTTATACTTGGCGCCCTCCAGAGCCAAGGCCCGAGAGAAACCAAGGATACCCAGTTTCTATACCAGTTAGAAATCATCCGCTGAAATTGATTCTGAGTTAAACTTACAGCAGCTGCGTAGTTTGCCTGACCAAAGTTGCCATAGATACCGCTGGTACTGGTGGTGTTGACAATCCGCCCATACTTCTGCTTTAACATGTATGGCCAAGCAGCCTTAGTGACGCTATAGGTGCCGCGAAGATGGACGTTGACCACGGTGTTCCACAAATTATCATCCATGTTGGTGAACGCTTTGTCACGGAGGATACCGGCATTGTTGACGAGGATGTCAATTCGTCCAAAGGCATCGATGGCAGGCTTCACAACAGCCGGGCCATCTTCGACCGATGCTTTGGAGCCAACCGCTTTACCTCCCATCTTCTTGATTTCCTGAACGACTGGCTCTGGATCAACCAGATCGTTGACAACAACAGCAGCACCTAGTTTAGCAAAGAGGAGCGCATATGATCGACCAAGGCTAGAAATCATGTTAGACTTAGGTGCAACGAACTTTCGCGTATGTCAACATACCCATTTCCAGCACCAGTGATCAGCGCAACCTTACCAGTGAAGTCTGGTTGTTGGGCGGGAGGGCTACTTGGGAGCTTCATCCCTTCCTGAAGCAAGTCCATAAAATCGTTGGGTCCAGTTGGGTAGCTCGGCGCAGAGAAATCCCCGACTTGGTCCCATTTCGCCAGAATTGCACCGGGTGTAAGGGAGTCATCTGCCTTCAGCAACGCACCTTTGGCACGTTCCCAGCGCAACTTCGCAATATGGCCAGCTCCGGCCTCAAAAATGGACCCGGTCTCCTTGGAGGACGAGTGTACGAGCACCGCCACTAAGGGAACAACCCATTCAGGCTTAAGGTTCTCAAGCACTTCCGGAGGCATAATCGTTTCCGTCATGCGGCTAGCAGCTACGGGGCGGGTTAGCCGTTTGTAATTTAGACGAACGAAATACACTGTACACACCAATTGGAGCGATGACATTGGCATGGATGTTGTATTTAATACCCTCCTTTGCCAACGTCTCGGTAAAGCCAACCATGGCCAATTTTGCAGCTATTCAGAGTTAATAAAAGAATACTTGAGCGCAATGCGATCAGAATACGCACCTGAATAGTTTGTCTGGCCGAAGTTACCGAACAAGCCTGCAGCCGAAGCAGTGTTGATAACTCTGCCGAATTTTTGTTTTCTGAAGTAGGGCCAGGCAGCTCTTGCACACTGTAAATGGGGTTAGCCTTTTTAATTATAACAGAATTGACCATAATGCCGCCGCCTGAACACATACCTTGTATGAACCGTAGACGTGGACCTTGTTGATGAGATCCCAATCCTGGTCCTTCATGTTCTTAAAGCTAATATCTCGGAGGATTCCCGCATTGTTGATGAGAATATCGATGCGGCCGAAGTTTTTGATGGCGGTTTCAATAATTTTATCTCCGAACTCAACACTGTCGTAATTGGCAACGGCCTTACCACCTTTGGCTCTAATCTCGTTGACAACAAGGTCCGCACCCTATCATTCCATTAGTCTGTGTTTGTCATGGAGCATCTCAAATGCAAGTGAGAGCTGGTGCTGAGAAGAAGAAATGCTAACCTTTGACGACTGACCCTCGCCAGTATGTGAAACACCCAAATCATTGACGACAACGTTAGCACCTCGTGAGGCAAAGAAGAGCGCATAGGCCTTTCCTAAACCACCACCGGCGCCTGTGACAACCACAGTCTGCCCGTCGTAGCGTAGGTCCGACATATTGAAAGTCTATGAATTGAAGAGGGGAAAGATTCAAGTACCGTGCAGTGGAGGTTTTCAGCAGCTGCACGAGCTTTAAGGTGGAAGGGGATGAGATGAAGAAGTGCGCAATGAAAGCGAGAGAAATTTGAATGGAGAGCCGGCAAGAAAAAATTGGATGAAAGGGAGGGAAAGAGTCGTGGAGGTGTATGAAACGAGGTTCGGGTGATGATGTTGCTCAACACGAACGAACAAGTGCTTGCCAGAGGTTGGACCTCGGTTGGTTTGGATGTTCCAGAGCTACACAGCAGGAACCTTGGTTTCGGCGGTTCAGCGGTGTAAGCCGATGTATCTCAAAGTCGCCCATAATTGCCACTCACGAAGTTAACAAGCAGCCAATCAGAAATTTGGAGTGGGAGTCGTTTCTAGCAGCCTTGGCAAATATTCTCTAAAGGCCAATTGGTTGATTTTCGGAGATTCGGGAGATGCATGTGATCGTTTCTTGGCATATCTTGATTCACATGAACATCTGCAGATGCGTGATCGCATGCATGATGGAAAGTACTAAATTCTGGGTAGGGTGGCTCACTGGTGCCAGAATGGAAGAATAATGCAGTGCACCCTACATTCACTTTCCAAGCGCACTGTGCTTGCTTCTGTCTTCATTTTTCCTGGACTTGGAGTTCAGGACAGCTTCATTCTTGTTGATTAGTTACTCGAAAATTAAGCTGTACGAGTTAACGTGTTCGAACAAAAGCCCGCCAGTTTCCATCCCTTCTCATTTCAACCATCCGCTCACCACTGTGCCGTGCCTGTCACTCCCGGAAATGGAAGGCGCTGTTCGACCGAGTAAGGAGGCTATTGAACGTATGCGAACAAAGAGCCAACTTATTTGGTCTCAGTATGCTCTGGCGACAAGCTCTGAGCTGCCACAGTGCCACTCCAGTGTATTAAACCTCAGAACATGCTGGGAAGGGTTCCTGCTTACCTTGGCCGCGATTCCGAGTCTCGGAAGCATAATTTATCGATTCACCATACATCGTCATTGAATGGCTTGTCAACTCTCTTCATTAGTGGAAAATCTATATGGCAGACGTCCGAGGGAGAGTGCGACCTTGAACAGAGAGGGTCCTCCCGCATCAGCTTCTTTTAGGCGTTCAGTGCTCCACGACCTGTGTTTTCGCAGATGATTCACGCTTCAGACACTGGCCTGGAGTATGCAATACTTCGGATAACGCTGAGCAGGGTAATTATCTGGCGGTGTTATTTTATGCTTGGTCCTATATTTTATCGAGCACTTGGCTGGAGATGCAACCTTCAGCTTTGGCACACACCAGACGTATGAGATAGTTGCATTGCCGGGCCAATGAGCTTGATATTGATGATACCGAACAGCACCGCCGTGATTTTGAGATTGATTTGCGCTCCGTGGATGACGATGCCGCAAGATGGTGGGCAGCAGTACTCTCGCGGGCGGGATGGCAGGCTACTGTATCTCACGATGGCCAAACCTACAAATCGCCATGGTCCGTTCGCAATATTGATACCCGTCCGTTCATTTTGCGCAGAAATTATGACGGGGAAGACTATGGATAGAGGTAGCTCTGGTGGGAAGGAAGAGCAACTTCCTCCCCAAGGAAGAAGGAAAAAGCCCGGAGGGGAGAAAGGCCTGGAGTACTCAGAAAAACCGTCGAGACACCACCTACCCCGACCAGACAACATCCCGGAACTCAGACACAAGCTATGGAGGCTTCCCCTGTGCTAATTCTAATCCAACCTCCCCAGTCCAGGTTTGCTGCTCCATGCTCCTTGACTGTTGATTTTGCCCAGCGCAGGATCCCTTTCCTGCTCCTCCGACCCCGGCTTCAGAATCTCTCCAACTTGCACTCTCTGGAATTCTCTTTCATCAACCGAAATATCTCGTTCTAGCCGGGCGGGAATGGTGGGTAGGAACCGACCGTCGAATCATGGTTGTACCTGGGACTGGGCGGAAATGCTGAACTGGGCGAGCGGGCTGTGTCCAAGTGGGATGACAGTAGTTGTTGCATTTGTGCTGGCTGAAGAAGGAACTGATCCCATCGGAGCCTAGATCAGTGACACCGTACTCCCGATTCCGCGATAAAATGACAGGGTCAGAGAGGACAACCTCATGCTGGTAGACGCCGCCTTGGAGGTCGCAGAGAACATAGTTCCCACCAGAAAGATGGTAGCTAAAGTGGCTCAGGGCTTGCATTACTTCCCCCCATCCTTGTGAGCCATCATTCCACCCACTGTTGCTGTTGAACTTTTGGTAATTCTGGATAAAAGGCTCGCACAGATGGTTCTGGCCAGCCCACTCATCAGAGGCGTCGTCGTCAAAGACCCAGACAGCGGCGATGTTGATTTTAACAACTTTAGTAATAATGTCAAGCTGATTGAACCTGTTAACAATTTCCAACGCCTTATCAATCGCCTTGATGTCGAGGGTGAAATAATCGTCCGAGAAGACTGCGCCTGTCTTAAACCATTTAATGACACACGCTTGGCCACTGCGCGGGCCTGAAGTGTATTTCCCCTTAGCAACCCAGCGAAAAGCACCTTGAGCAAAGGGATTGTCAAGTGCATCAATTGGGAAAGTAGCACGGCTAGAGATGTTGTATCTACCACTGTCAGACTGCTTTGCGGATGAGTTGTCGCGTGGGTGGCCGTGGACACAGCTGGCACATCGCGATACACCCGGGCCCTTGGAATACTGGTTGGCGGTGTAGGACGACTGAGGCAGATTGCGGTCGCAGGAAGCGCATGGCCGATCCATGATTAGAGGGGAGTTGTCCTAACGATTGAACTCGATAAAATGAATGAAATAACAAGAGTACTGAATCCCTGCGACGTGACCCCTCACCGATTGGTGCCGTTGGCCTTCGGTTCTGATTGACCTTTACTTCAGAGGCCAAAAAGGCGACCTGAGCGAGCTGGAGGAGTTGAACGAGCGGGTGTAAGAGAAGAATTAGACAACTAGAATCGATGAACACGGTTGAAGAAGAAGATAGAGTAGGAGAAGGCAGCCTCAGATCGCCCACTCCTCGCCTCTAGCGACAACCCCAACACCAGCCAGACTCGGAATTAGCCCAATCAAAACTCAACAAAGCTTTTATCCTCTAGAAATCATCCACGTGTCTCGATAGATTCAAAGCCATGAGAAAAGGAGTCCAAAGGGCTGCTCCCATTGACTCTTCAGGAAGACTCGTCACAAGGCTTTACTCCGGGGCAAAAGGGGGGTTAACAGTTGCTGGCCTGACTGGCAGATGATGCCCATCAACTAATCATCTCCGCCCGGGGTGACTTGATCTCCGCAAAGCTGATCAGCATTGTGGATGGGTCAATTTTCTGATGAATCTCAACTCGTGCAAAGTGACGCTTGCGCCTAGAATTCTAAAAACCAGGTGTATGGAGTACTCCGTATGTAACTAGTTAGTGAGCTGGCTAATCTTTTGCTCCACCTGCCCCGCTCTCCTCACTTGAATATCCATTTCTCGATCCTCCAGTGCTCACTATCATAAGACAAACACGATCTCCATCGGGGGTTATAAGATGGTAAGTTCTCTAAATCACACTAGATTTAAGTCTAATTGAGCTTAATAAACCACTAGAACCACATTGTCAATATTGGGTCATGCCACGTCCATGACAAAATGAGAATGAGGAAGCCACACCTGAAAGATACACTCCCAATTCAGCTATGTGTTCTATGCGATCGCCCTTTCTGCGTTGACCACAAGGGAAAGGAGGACGGCGTCTGTGAAATCAATCATGAGACATACTATCGAAACCACCCGGCCGCCCAGCAGTACTTGTATCGCACTTACGAAGACTGGAAGAAAGATTTTGAAGAGATGATGGATGATGAGATGTCGGTGAAAGGGGAGTAAGCTATGCGGGGGAAGGTGTGTTGATCAGAGCCTGTCCATTTTGGCAAAACTGCGAGCCTTGTTGTGGCGAGGATGGGCGCGTCTCGGGGTCAGGAGACGGTGATATGGATGCAGGCTGGTCCGATTCAGGTATTGAGAATGGGTTGGGGTCATGGCTTGGAGTTCTGTCACGAACCTTTACTTTCTGTCTTTTATTGCCATTGTTTCTAGTAAGGCCGTGATTCTCGCAACTGTTCGTTAGCCCCACCGCCAAGGAATTGGCATGAGTATTCTCTTCCGCCACGCCTTCGGGGTCTCTTCTCTGCTTGACTCTGAATAGTGTGAGGAGTGCAGGAAGCAGCTCCTGTAAGCCACTTTGCCATGTTCGCGCAGCACGTTCGAGAAACTTCTGATTCCTCATACCCAATACTTACTTAAGTCAAGTTCTATGACGGGTTAAGGCGTCCAATGTGGTCGGATTCTGTAACCACGCCGCTATTCGGAGTCATGATTTTCCGATAAGGTCTTGGCACTCAAAGGAAGGACAAGAAGCGCAACCTCTGGCTCAACCGTCAATCTTCACCTCACCCTTTATCCAGCAAAAACTTTGGACTTCATTTACACAAAATCCATCTTTAACAAACGGACATCTGCAAGATGACTTTTACTGATTCAGACACCTATCACGCATCATCGAAGCAAGAGCGACTAAAAGATGCTCTGTCGGTGCTGCACACAGGACGCGGTACGTCACTGCGCCAAATCGCGAGGGATCATGGTGTCCCTTGGTCCACCCTCCGCTCGCATGTGGCAGGGACACGTCCATCTACCCAAGCAGATCAGCGGCGATTCTCCGCCTCCGAGGAGGCTGAGATAGTTCAATGGGTTGAGGTTCTGACAGCTTGGGGTTGGACGCTCAGCTTGCGTCGACTTGATGACATGGCAAGATATCTTCTCACACGAAGGGGTGATGGACAGCCTCTCGGCCGGATGTGGAGGACTAGGTTCCTTAAAAGATACCCGGAGCTCAAGAGGCTAGCAAATTGGCGTCTGGCCAGCAGCTCTCTCCCACCACCTGAGTTTTCTTCCATTCAACACTGGCTCCGCAGCATTGTCTGGACACACCAGATTCCACCTTCAGGTGTCTATTAAGTGACAGCACCTGACAACTTCCTTAGGCAAAGCACTGTTGTTGAGTGTATCTCGGCAGTGGGTACCACTCTTTGTGTTTCAAAGGCAGTTTGCTAGCCAAGAATGTATCAACACACTTGCTGCTGAAGGCGTCAGGGTCAGCCTTTCAGACAATTTGGTGTCACCCACAATACAGTCATGGTTGCGAGAGATTCTTTGGACTCCGGCCAACCATGCCCGACTACTTTTAACAGATAACATACCATTATCATTGGATCCAGAATTTGTTGATTTCTGCATACAACATCAGATCATTGTTTTGAATCTGAGAGGGAGACTACCAGCTTTGCATGAAGTTATGGTTTCACCATTTGAAAAAGCTGGTGCTACAATAAGCCCCTTTCTTGAGTCTGCCACCGCTACTCAGGCTGTTACGTTTAACACTGCCTATCAAGTGGAAAGAACGGCCGATTCCCATATGAAATGCAGCATGGCTGCTTGGCGGAATATGAATATCTTGCATTGATAAAGCGCGCCAAACAATGTGAAGAAAAGAATATGACTAATGTCTCGTGACCTCCCACATTCAGTTTTGGGGATTTTAAAGTCTTGTTTTTTTGGGTATTTAGATATAGATATATATTATTGATATTGAATATACTTTAGTGTATGAAGCTATATTTATTATAATATACACAAGTTTATTATTTTGGTATGAATAATATTGGTGCTATTACATGATGTATTTCTAATTCAATTCTAAAGTTATTAAGATATAGTAAGCTAAATAGTAAATATCTCATTTTCAGTATCTTATATAAAAAATTTCAAGTATTTATCTTTGATATTGGTGGTTTTATAGCTCTTTGAATTAAAGATGTT